TTAGTAAGTTAGGCTATTAGCTGGAAATTAACAGCACATAGGCTGTAGGAGTTGTGCTGTAATTGATCAGTTTCTCAATAAAGAATTGTTTAGCTACCGTATGAGTAAAGGTTGAAGGGGATTCTGTCAAACTTGAAGTTTTTCCCTGCATTTACATACTTCTATCTTTTTTTCCTGCATCCAGACACACCATAAATGAATGGCATGATACTTGCATAAATTTGACATTCTTACCATTTAAATTGCATGAATTTGATATTTAAATTTCTTCTGGCATGTTGAGGTTTAATTTTAGAATGATAAAAGAAATTAAATCTTCATAAAACTAAGCTATTTAAAGCTTGTATAAGAGGCCGATGGGGTCTAGTTCAGTGGCAAATGACCTTGATTTGCAAACCAATGATCTCATATTTGAACCCCAATAACATCTTCGTAGTTTGTGTGAGAAACCCCCATCATTCTTATTTTTTTGGTTATTTGTATAAACTCTCACAGGATTTTCTTCATTCATTAAGGAATTAGATTAAAAAGAATGTTATAACTTTTGTATTTTCGGAATCAATAACCACGTGTCTAAATCAATTTAATCGTATATATTTTAATGTCTTTGATAAGAGAAGGCATATTATATTGTTAGAATAATAGGGCAAGTAAACAAATCAATAAAATATGTTTAGAAAAGCTAACACGATTATCATTTCACTTTAAAATACACAATTAGGAGACTGCAGATTAATTTACTCATAGAAGCTTCAATGCCATTAGGTGCCAATTTCCATTCAATGTCTAGAAATGAAACAAACAATTTATTACTCTTCAAAATCTGGGATTCCAATTCCAAAGCATGACTTGAGAAAATTCTACAACCACGCCTCACGCCAGAATTGAATTTACTCAGCAGTTGCAAGTTTGCAATTTCTCCTCCTCCAGCGCATCACCTAATAAATCATACAAGTCACGTTATGACGGAGAAACAGAGAGTAGACATATATAGCCGTTGCAAATAAGTTTGGGCATGTGGAGGGAATCGTCCCTGTATATACATATATCCCCACCACTCTTTGTTTTCTTTCGTCCTAAAAAATGAAAAAAAAACTCTTTGTTTTCTAATTTTCTGTGATTTACGTGATTTATCTCACCTATTTAGTTTTAAACATTTGAAGATCGATAAGAGTTTGAGAGTGAATAAGTCACGCAAATACGGATGTATTTTTGTTGCAAGGAAGTTTTCTTGCAAATATGTCACGTAATGATAGGATTTGAGAGCGAATAAGTCACACAAATACGGATATATTTCTATTGCAGGGAAGTTTCCTTACAAGTAAGCCACGTGATAAAAGAGAGAGAGATAAAAATATATCGGTTGCATGGAAGTTTCCCAAACACTAAATCCTAACAGCCCAGTAAAAGCCCAAGGTCAACTCACCTAGAAGTTGGTAACCTATTAATTGGGCGCGTCTTTGTTTGAGTCCAAATTTGGAATGAAAAGAAAATTAGAAACCACGTCCCTGTTTCACACCCCTTTCCTCACAACCTCCCTCCAGATACCGTTATAAAAAGCATATTCCCCCACCACCCTATTTCTCATCACAATAACATTAACACAAGCAATTCACCAAACACCTAACGTCCACTTTTCATAACCATGGCAACAACGTCCCGGAAGCTAGAAATCAGAGTCATATCCGCCGAGAACTTGCAATTAGATAGAAAACCCATCAAGAAAAACGCCTCTGCAACTGTCCGCGCCGAAAAGGACAGCCAGTTTCGCACCACGTACATGGACACCGAAGGCGGCGCCTACCCCAAATGGAACGAGAAGCTTGTTCTCGACTTGCCATTGCATGCGAGGTCCTTCACGGTGGAGATTCAATGCAAGACTTCTTACGGAGTCAGGACGATCGGAACGGCAAAGATTCCGGTGTCGGATTTCGTGGGCGGGTTTGTGCCTGAGGGCTACCTGCATTTTTTGAGTTACAGACTGAGAGATAACAGAGGAGAGAGAAACGGGATTGTTAATATTTCGGTGAGGATGCAGGTGCCAGAGTTGAAAGCATGTGCTACGACGTCGTCTCATTCGAGCATGGGATTTCCCGTGGGAGATAGCAGCTTTGGCGGCGGTGGCGTGGCGACTGGAGTTCCCGTTTGGTACGGGGCGTATCAGAAAAATTATTGAAGAAAAAGGGTTTGACTAGTTGGTTTATTAGTCACAAATCACCAAAAAATTTGTGCGTAAGTATTGGAGTAAACTTTGTCGAACTACAGACTTCCAATGTTCATGAAAATTTATGCAACAATTTAATTCATTGTTACAACTTACATTCCCTGATTTTTATGTTATCCATGCACTTAAATAATCTTTGCATCGTCTTTGGAATGACATCCACACTAATTTTTGCATTGTCAATCAATTGGCGTTCATATTTCCAGATGACGGGTATGTCAAAATTTTAATTAGCTCGATGAGGAAATGTTTACCGCATTTATTCTCCACATGTATCATAATATTTTATTTTTTTTCTAACTTACAATCTCTTTCAATTATGCGAAAGAGATTTTTGCCTACCTTACGAGAAACACTTGCGTGAAATAAAAATAACATTGTTTTGCTATTCCTGGCCAATCATGTTATACCACGCGTGATAACTTTTACACGTGATAGTCTATAATTGACGGAGATAGCCTCGGTTACACACAAGTTTTCCTGCTATCGTATGTAAACCCAGAGCTACATGGAACAATATCATCTAGCCTACAGAGCTTGCTCACCATGGGCACATCATTAATCAAGCAAGACCATGTTCTATGACCTATCAATCATTAGAGTATTATGATAATAATCAAGAATAATATGAGTTATCTCCGTATAATATATTATTAAAAGATGCGTCAAATTTGAATTATGCATCCCTTCCAAATAAAAAAAGAAAAGAACTATTGCAAATGAATTGGAGTAATAGTCCAACATTATATTGTATTATACACGACGAAACACTCTGGTAAACCAGCACATATCTCCTGCCGTCTAATCTTGAAAATTGGCATGGAAATGTCCACCCTTTTTTCTTTCTCTAACGCTTAAACAACACTTTTTTTGTTGGAAAGAACAACACATTTACAATGTGGCATAACGTCAGTCAATGCATGAGCAAAGCAAATATTTTCGTCTCCAATCACTGCACGCCATGTGGAAAAGAAGATTATTCTTTAAATTAATTAATTGAACCAATTTATTTAGCCAATTAATTAATATGGATAATATCTTAATTATATGATATTATCTTATAATCAAGTCCGACTCAATCTCTACGAATTTGGGTAAGAATAAACTCCTCTTAATAAGAGTTTATTATCTACGAAACCCTAACTCCGAGGCTCCTGTAAATAGATGATTTCATTCATCATTCAAGACACTTCCAAAAACCAACTTCTAAAACCCGAGAAAAATACCCGTGAGATTATTTGTACAAACAATCCAGATGAGATTCGTCAAAAGAAAAAGTATGCAAAAAAAATACTTGTAAACAATGAGGTTTGAGAAAACCAACATGCATTCCAACTGCGACAGAATATTTTAACCAAGAAAGTTGTGGTCGCACTTCTTCACTTTTCCCCAAATGCTAATACTATAAAAACCAATGACGTGAAATTTAGGGAAACTGTGGGGTTAACGTCATTCAAACCGCAGCCACAACGGTCGAATATGGCAGACCAAATTTGACTTAATTATCCAATGACTTTGAGAACGTCATGCTGTTAACTATAGAAGAGGGAGAGAGCCTTCGTAGAAGCACAAGTGGTTCAGTATCAAAGCCGCCACATGGCCGAGTGGCTATCCCACGTTAATGCTAGTGAATCCTAAGTGCATCAACACGTTAGATTCATCCATATGTACACGGGCGACTGCTCACAACAATTTTCCCAACACACTACCAAATCCTTACAGTTACGCAATTGTTCTTTATGTTTTGTGTTTGGTGAGGCCAATGTTGCGGCTCATCGTTTAGCTCGATTCACTTTATTCTTAACTGAGAGTCTGAGACTACCATTTGGTGTGTGACCCTCCTTAAATAAAAAAAAAAAAAAAAAAAAAGAGTGGTGATTAACGGGAGAGTGTTTGTTTCGTTGCTGGGGTGGGTTTTTTTTGGACAAATTGCTAGTGGAGGTGACCAATTAATAAATGCTTCTGAACATATATTTTGCTCCTAATCCCAGAAATTATCTCCATTATTTGTTTTTGCCATAAGCATTACTGTTTTAATTTTTTCTTGATGTTGTAGTGATCTTGTTGATGAAGTAATGGTTTACCAAACGAGTTGAAAGAGAGGGGGTGGGTCTTCGTGGTTGGTATGGTAGTGGGGTGGAAGGGGTGGTGGCTGGTCGGAGATGGGGTAGGAGGGGGCTGGTTAGGTTTTTTTCAATGCTTTTAAAATGATGTTTTGGTAATTGAGAGAGAGGGGATGAAATGATAGAGAAAGAGGTGAGAGTTTTGTTTTTTTTTTTTTTTTTTTTTTTTTTTTTTTTTTTTTTTTTAAATATTTATTAATATTATAAATAAATATTTACATGTTATATTTATTATTATTTAATTTTTTAATTTTTTGATTTCTTTGTTACCTCGTTACCATGAGGTTAACAGTGTTTTTGACGGTTGATTGATGGTTGGTATGAAAATTGAATTTTATGTACGAAGTTGATAAGAAAAAAGTTTAGGTAGCAAAGTCCAAATTTTGGAAAACTTCCAGGCAATAAAGTGAAATTTTCCAAAAAAATAAAAACAAATAAAAGAATTAGGCGGCGTTGTTTGGGCGCGTCTTTGTTTGAGTCCAAATTTGGAATTTTAAGAAACTCAGAAGCCACGTCCCTGTTTCACACTCCTTTCCTCACAACCTTCCTCCAAACACCCTTATAAAAGCATTCCCCCCCCAACCCTATTTCTCATCGCAATAACCATTAACACAAGCAATTCACCAAACACCTAACGTGCACTTTTCATAACCATGGAAGGAACGTCCCGGAAGCTAGAAATCACGGTTATATCCGCCGAGAACTTGCATTTAGATCGAAAACCCATCAAGAAAAACGCCTCTGCGACCGTCCGCGCCGAAAATGACAGCCAGTTTCGCACCACGGACATGGACACCGAAGGCGGCGCCTACCCCAAGTGGAACGAGAAGCTTGTGATCGACTTGCCAATGCAGGCGCGGTCCTTGATGGTGGAGGTTCAATGCAAGACTTCTTACGGGGTCAGGACGATCGGAACGGCGAAGATTCCGGTGTCGGATTTCATGGGCGGGTTTGTGCCTGAGGGCTACCTGCATTTTTTGAGTTACAGACTGAGAGACCGCAGGGGAGAGAGGAACGGGATTGTGAATATTTCGGTGAGGATGATGGTGCCGGAGTTGAAAGCGTGTGCTACTACGACGTCGTCTCATTCGAGCATGGGATTTCCGGTGGGAGATAGCAGCTTTGGCGGCGGTGGCGTGGCGACTGGAATTCCGGTTTGGTGCGGGGCGTATCCGAGAAATTATTGAAGAAAAAGATTGGTTTACTTGTCACAAATCACAAATTTTTGTTTGTAAATATTGGAGTAAACTTTGTCCAACTACGAACTCACAATGTTCATGAAATTTTATGCAACAATTTTATTCATTGTTACATTACCTGATTGGATTATACTCATGCTTAACCAATCTTTATATTATCGGTCGAATGACATTCATACTAATCTTTGTATTGTCGGTGAATTGACATTCATCGACAATACTAAAATTTAGTTAGCTGAATGAGGAATCGTGGAATTGTTTACCACATTTATTATGCACATGTATCATATAATTTCTTTTTCTTTTCTTTATTTTTAATGAAAGAATATTGAAATTTAGAATCTCTTTTAATTATGTGAAAGAGATGTTTTGCCTAACCTAAGTGAAAAACCAGAGCTACATGGAAAACTATCATCTCCTTCCGCCGGCTTTAACCAGCCCACAGAGCTTGCTCACCATGTGCACATCACCAATCAAGGAAGACCATGTTCTATGACCTATCAATCACTTTCGTCTGAAAGTATAGTTTTTATTTATCTATGTAGCTTTAAACTATTCTAAGTTATTAGATGTCTCAAATTTGAATTTCGCTCTATCTTTTGATTAAGAAAATATAAAAAACTGTTGCAAATGAATTAGAAGTAACAGTCCAACATCATATTGTATTAAACGCTATGGTAAACCAGTCAATACAAATCTTCTGTAGTCTAATCTTGTAAATTGGCGTAGAATTGTCCACCTTTTTCTCTCTTTCTCAAGGAGATTTGAGAAAACCAACATGCATTCCTAATGTGATGTGATAGCATATTTTAACCATGAAAGTTGTGGGAGAACCTTCACTTTTTCCCCAAGGAAACTGTAGTCATTGAAATATGACCATCTGACCTCTCCTTCCAATTCCCCTACCTCTCATAATCCATATGAATAACTCTTTCTCACAAATATCTTATTATTTTCTCATTTAAATCTCAAATTTTCTCTTGTTGATTCATAAGAAAAAAAGAAATTATAAATGAACTTGCATGCTAATTAGTAACTATCTTACATCAATAGTTACAATTCTTACATCAACCCTCTCACTAACATAGCATGCTAATTAGTAACTATCTCAACCAACCTAATTGACTAGTTTGTAATCTATACATGCAGTTTCTTGCTGCCCTACTTTGGTTTATCCAGCATACGTAGCTGCTCTTGGTACTCCTTAGCTTTGATGTTGCATTATTTTGCTCTTGATGTTGGAAAAAAACATTGAGAATGGCGTGTCTGCAGGGGAATATGTGAAGTGTACTCATTAGTGAGCTGTATGAGAGAGATCAGTAAGTTTCATTGTGTAGTTATCCTCCAGAAATGACTCCAAAGAGCAGTATGAGAGTTATACTGACCAGTTGTTTTCAGATAAGTTTTTGAACCATGTAGGCACATTATATACATATATGAATCTCACTGGTCGAGTTCAACTTGAAGATTGAATCTCTATATCCGACAGTATTTATCAAGTATGGTACTACCTTTAGGTATTCATATTGTATATTAGGACAAGCCAAAAAACATCTAAATAAATAGCAAATGAAATTTGTGAAATTCTAACCTCCTGCCCATCATTAACATCTTCCAAGTCATCTTCAATGAGAATAGCTTGCAAAAAATTAACCACATGCATTTGTATTCTAGCCAAAGCTTGTTGTCGCAGTAGGCAATGACAACTCTTAAGACATTAATCCTTCCATTTACCTTCTCAAAGAAGTATGTATGTATGGCATTACTGGTCTCAATGTGGCATTACAGCCCAGAGCAACTGATTGTCAACTTTCTACTTGTGGACCATGACCAGGTATCCCACATTGAGACCAGTAATACCACACAGACATTCTTCTTTGAGCATTCAATGGAAGGACTAATGTCGTAAGAGTTGTCATTGACTACAGTCGGCAGCCGGCTCTAGCTAGAATACAAATTCATGGGGTTAATTTTTTTCAAGTTATTCCCATTTAAAATGACTTGAAAGATGTTAATGATGAACAGGAGGTTAGAATTTCACAAATTTCATTTGCTATTTATTTAGATATTTTTGGCTTGTCATAATATACAATATGAATACCTATATGTAGTAGTATCATACTTGAGAAATATTCTATAGAGGTTCAATCTTCAACTGGACCAGTGAGATTTTCCCATTGACAAGCTTCCTCGCAGCAGGGGCAGATGGTTATTTCCTGGAGGGCATCACCAATCAAAGCCTTCAATCTAAACTGCATGTATAGATTAGAAACTAGTCAATTAGGTTGGTTGAGACAGTTACTAATGAGCATGCTCTGTTAGTGAGAGGTTGATGTAAGAATTGTAACTATTGATAGCAAGGAACTGCAAGTACAGATAAGAAATTGTAACCCATGAAACAAAGTTTACAGAAGTTTCCTTGATGCCTGTTACTTTATGTGAGATGGTGAAGGGGGTTGAAAGAAGTATTGGTGGAAATACTTCATATATTATGTCACAATTAATGATAAAACCTGAAGAACTTCATATATTAGGGGGCAATAAAGACCAGTAATACCACACGGACATACTTCTTTGAGCAATTCAATGGAAGGACTAATGTCTTAACAGTTGTCATTGACTACAGTCGGCAGCCGGCTCTAGCTAGAATACAAATTCATGGGGTTAATTTTTTTCAAGTTATTCCCATTTAAAATGACTTGAAAGATGTTAATGATGAGCAGGAGGTTAGAATTTCACAAATTTCATTTGCTATTTATTTAGATATTTTTTGGCTTGTCATAATATACAATATGAATACCTATATGTAGTAGTATCATACTTGAGAAATATTCTCGGTTATAGAGGTTCAATCTTCAAGTTGGCCTGGACCAGTGAGATTTTCCCATTGACAAGCTTCCTCGCAGCAGGGGCAGATGGTTATTTCCTGAAGGGCATCACCAATCAAAGCCTTCAATCTAAACTGCATGTATAGATTAGTTGGTTGAGACAGTTACTAATGAGCATGCTCTGTTAGTGAGAGGTTGATGTAAGAATTGTAACTATTGATAGCAAGGAACTGCAAGTACAGATAAGAAATTGTAACCCATGAAACAAAATTTACAGAAGTTTCCTTGATGCCTGTTACTTTATGTGAGATGGTGAAGGGGGCTGAAAGAAGTATTGGTGGAAATACTTCATATATTATGTCACAATTAATGATAAAACCTGAAGAACTTCATATATTAGGGGGCAATAAAGAGAACATATTTTTTAAAAAAAATGCTACACATCTTAAAACTTAAAAGATACTTTGCCCAGGTACAAACCAACACAGATTATGTAACAAATAATGATAATCATGTTCACTATGCAGTCATAACATCCAGAAATCTAACTTTCAGTCCAATGCGCAACGATTGATTATTTCCAATCATTAAGGATTTCTTCTTATCAAAAGCAAAAAAATTTACATTTACTTGAGCAGAAAGCCTACGACAGTTTTGCTTTTCTAACACAGAAGTTACACATCCAAATTATGATGGACCTCGCAAATTTTCAACTGAAGTAAGTTTGTTTGAGCCACCATCTCCATTTTGATCAATTTCCAGCCATGCTCTGTTAACCTTACACTAGCATTATACACAGAGTGTAAATAAGAACAAACTTTCGGAACTTGTATTTTATTTTTTCTGCAAAACAAGCTTGCTCACATGCCCCATTCCATACAACAAAATTTAAAAGAGAGATAGACAGAAAGGAAAGTATTTTCTGGCAAGACAAACAGAACCAACTTTAAAAGGAGCAATTTTTTTATGGTTTCATAAGAAATGGAGTTCGAATCAATTAATCAGCTTTTTCCTGAGAAAATACTCAGAAAGTGATAGAAAAATAAGAGCGAGAAGATGATTAAGTTACCTGCTGGTGGGATGAGAAGAGGGTTTCGGGTTCCATGGGAAATGGAGGGCTTTGCGAGGCGGAGGCCGGAGTATCCTTTGGCTGTGATGACGGTGGCGGAGAGATTAAGATAAGGAGCGTGATTCGGGTCCATTGTCTCCCTCCTTGTCTGCGATCAATTTTATGTTTATACCTCGTAACATCTGTGCCCAATTGAGATGTCCCCTGTCTGTCCCTCGGCTATTCTCTTGCGATCTGTACTTTTATAAAATTACTTAACTCTTAATATTTAGAGTTGGTAATATTTAAAGCGTATAGCCGGGCGGCTGTACTGTTAAAATATTTTAAAATATTTACGGCTAAACTATTAAAATATTCGAAAATATTTAAAAAGTATAGCCGTGCGGCTATACACTTAAATGACCATTTTAGGGCTGTGATTGAGGCCAACTAGTTATTGTTGTCGACAGAAGAGCAATCGATTTCAGGCCAGGTTTCGAGGATGGAAATTTTGAATCATCGAAGTTAGGAACGCCCTGCAGCCTCATTTTATATTGCCGATGAGGATTGCCTATATTTTTTGATTCAGAGGTATGCATTGACTTGTAACTTGTGTTATGTGATTATGATGCTGGGGCTATTTTGCATAGTTTTGTAACTTGCCAGTTTACGTGTGTGGGTCGCTGTATCTTCTTAGAATCATGCCATCAGAAAAGCTGATATGGGGAGGCGGGTTTTAGAAACCCTCTATCCAGTGGGCGATACTAATAAGAAGGGTAATCGATTTTGGACTTGGATCATGCTCGGTCTAGGTTTGAGAAGTAATGCTGATACAAGGTCTGAAGAATTTGATTTACAGTCACTAATGTTTCCTTGGCAACTGATCAAATCCATTGACGATCGTCTCTTCATTATAAACCGAAGGTAGAACAAACCCTTCAAGTGCTATTGTTTCCTCACCAATAATCCGTGGTCACTTGTCTTTAACTTTTAAGTTGTATTCCATTTGAGTGAACTTCTAAGTTATTAGGAATGAACTTTTAGTGCTTATGAGAAGTGCCTTGGAGATGGATTGTTTTGAAATTAATTTACCATGTGAAACCCTAAGGTATGAGTGGTGAATGAAGCCATGCCTTATTTCAACTTTATATAGGCATGGTAAATTCCTGTGGATACAGTTAAATGTAGATATCCCTGTGGATACTGAGGTTGTAGAACAATTACAAGAAGGTTGTTTATGGCGCCAGGCAGGAGGATCCGGTACTGAAGTGTCAGGCATAGAGGATGTACGAGGGTCTTCAGAGAAGGTTCCTACATGGCAGAGCTTTTTTTCTTTGATTCATTTTTTTGCCAGATTAAGTTCCATTATCCTACAGTAGAAAATATTCTACTCCATGCTTTTAGTAGCTTAGGATTTCAGTTCTTTGGGGTTGGCAGCTTCGTGCTGCTCAACAATGGTATGATGAATTGGATAATCTTGCCTCTTTGATATCACCACCTGAATCAGAGTTTTTATTTATTTATGAAACCACCTGAATCAGAGTTGAATATTGAAGATGACAGTACAACTTCGGAAGTAGGATTCCAATATGGGAAAGTTTGCATCAATTGTGCTGTCAATAGGGTGGGCACGGTCGGCCCCATTTTGACTCAATACTAGTGCCGGGACATGTGAGGTGTGCACCTTTAGTTTACTTGTTTTGTTTTGGGTCGCTTGAAAGCAACAGAATCTCCGGCCATGGTTCCAATTTTGCCCTTACATCTTCATTCTTGGCATTGTGCAGGTTATTGTTTATGCGGCACTATATTTAAAACTTAGAAGAAAGAAAGAATTACTAGGGGCAATCAGGAGATATATGGAGCAAGGATACCAAATATTTTACACTCAAAGAGAAGTGGAAAGATAGGAAGAGATTCATGCATCCACTTCGTATTAAAATCAAACAGAGATTTGAGAGATCTCATCTTTATCAAACCTCTATATGTGAGGATAAAATTGGATTACCCTGACTGAAAAAGCAAAATATATTATCCTAAGAGACTTTAAGGTTGAGGTCAATGTATCGCTTAACTTATAATATTCAGAGTTGCTAATATTTAAAGAGTATAGCTGACCATTCTATTTAAATATTCAAATATATTTAAATAGTATAGTCGCGGGGCTATACGTTTAAAAGATTTGAATATTTTAAAGATAAAGTCGCGCGGCTTTACTTGTTACATATATTTGAATATATATATTAAAGATAGAAAATCACGATTTCAGTGTATTTATATGTAAATCCCAATTCCAATCCGAGAGGACAAAATACTAGGAGTCGCAGTTCGTGTTAAAGTCTAAAACTTCTAAGACATCTCAAACAACCCTCATCCGAAGCCCTTTATGATGGTGCGGGTTGACTCATGATATATGCCTATATTGTTTTTAAACCCAATATTTACCGACATTTTGCCACCACATGGAGGGATGGCTGTCCCACATTGGCCACTGCCGTTAGTACAATTCTTTGTCAAAATTTATGTCTCCTAAAAAATTTACCCATTCTGCTAAACCATTTGATTTTATGCCTTGTACCAGATGAAACTTGAAATTGGTCGCCAAGAATCTCAATCCTTCACATGATGACCATTGTAACCAGCTACTATACTTTTGTTTTTCAGCATTACAAGAAGTTGGTTGACATTAGCATATACATATACATATGTATAAGTTAACGGATATATTAACACTGAATAAAAAGAAAAATATTAAAATAGAGATACACTTGCAGCACCACTGAAGATATTCATTTGCTGATGAACAGCATGCCACGATCAGAGAGAAATTTGATCCCGTCTACACTACGCCGGTACCAATTTGGTTACTAGGCTTTAAAATGTTGAACTTGCACAGAGGACAGGTAGCATTGATGTATAACCATTTGTCTATGCAGCTGCAGTGAAAATGATGATGGCAAGGAAGTCCGCGTAATTCCGCTCCATTGTCGTAGACAGAAAGACAGATACAACATTCCTGCAATTTATAAAATTCATGTGATATGGGCAGTCTGTTAGAAGGCTTCTTTGCAGTGATGTACTGCGAAACCAGCACTTGTACACATACTAGATATACAGACAAAAGATTGTATGGTTTCATCCTAAGACTTTCAAATGGTATGAATATTGGGAAATCTAAGAACTCCAAACCACCTAATCTTAGATTCATATCAGACCTTGGTTTTCATAAAAGAACTTGGAAAACGAAAGGGGGTTGTAAGGAAAGGAATGCTGACAAAAATCAAAAGATCAAAAGCTATGGTACTTGAGCTGCCAAAAATACATAACATCATACAAGTATAAAGCAGCTAGGAAAGGGATAGAACCATATTGAAAGGCACATGGAAACTTACAGCATCATCCTGGGAAATAACATGCTCAGTTGGTGCACGAGTGTTACATTCGGTCATTAATCCTTCAGAAGCTTGGGCCTCACCATTAAGTTTCTCAAAATTACCTGTCCTGCGAAAGTTGAACTTTGGTAATCTATCAATTTCTTCCTCTGTTGCCCCCTCCTGTTTTCATGCAGAAGTGATATGAAGTCAGGTAAGTCATATATTGACATATATGATTGAGTAGAAAGGGACTATTTCATAAGTGCAAGATAACCAAATTAAATCAAGAAGCCAAACAATTCTTTCATTCTTTTCCCCTTTCATAACCTACTACATCATGCAAAGTAAAGAATCCTCTCAATTCATATGGATCCTCTCCATTCATATAGTGAATGGAAAGGATCGATTCTTCAATCGCAACTGTCACATGGAATGGGCCACCCTGAATTACGGTGGCACATATAAATCTAGAACTTTAGCATAATCTTCAAGCCAACAATGTCAGCAACATGTAACTCAGTCATGGTGTTTTCGTGTTTCTTTTCAATCAAAGAAGATTTAACTATATAATAATCTTCTATCCAAAATCCAACAGAAAAATGCACCAGAAAATTCAATATTTTAACAAACTCTAAAAGGAGCTCTCATATGGTCGCCCATAAAATTCTAAGAAAAAACTCAAATTGCCAACAGCTTAAGAGAGTTCTTCAGCAATATACATTTACTTACAATAAAGATTCACAAATATTGTGAAAGTTAGGCTCTTCCTTCAGAATCAACATGCAAAACAAAAATGCCTATTTGATACAGAATTGAACTCTTTCGATTCGAGGGACTCAAGCTGGTGCCAATTACATAAGGAAAGGGAGGAGAGATGAGAGGGATGAGAAGGTACAAAAGCTTTTTGAATCCATTATAAATTTCAGCATGCAATAAAATGAGCCAGCAAAAGTTTGCACATGTATCGCACTTAACAATATAAGAAATCAGAACATGCAAAACACAACTATGAACAACAAGCTATTAGCCTATTGCTACTTATCACAGTTTCTTATTCATATATTGCCATCATTTGAGCATGTGCACGTATCAAGAGATTATTAACTTGCCTATTATTCCTAAATATGCTATATCAAGTTGACTCTTTCAACAAAATAACACTAAAAATTGCATACATTCCTTATGGTTGTCTACCTGATCTGTTACAGCATATAAGATTGCAATTATGCATGGCAGACAGCAGCAGACTGCAATTCCAACAAGACATGCAACAGCAACACATATAACGACGAAGAGCATATCAAAAGCTAGAAATGTAACACAAAGCCTGCAAAATAGAACCGCACGTGAGTAATTAAAACACACACACACACACATATTCAAGTCAATCACTCAGAAGAAACCACTTAAGAATAAACTCTATTCAATCCTAACCAGTATAGATTAGGTGAATCACATAGCAAAGTCTGGCCACCATCAGTCACCCAGTAGAATCCAATGACCCACCAAATAAATGAAAACATGGTATTGGCTGACTCCAGATGCTTTGTGACACTGTTGCAGTATAAAAAAAAACATAGTTATATGTACTTTCATGGCATACAGCCACACAAAGATTAGCCACATGTAAAGATAATCACATTCAAAACAAATGGCAACCATAACTAACATTAACCAACTTATTGCATTTTACATTTTGCATTACAAATATGATGTGAAAAAAGGGTAACATCCCATGTAGGGATTCAATCAATGAGGCCCCATTTCCATTACACATCACCATCTAGATTCATCCCACTACAATTAACCACAAACGGACGGAACTTAAATAATAGGTCTGTCCTGCTCATTTTTACATATCTTAAAAAGGAAAAGAATTGCACTGAGAAATAAAAATTTCAAAGCTTGACAAATGTGCAACAAAGGATGAACAGCATACCGATTCCAGAATACAAAAAACGCTTACTTACTCTGAGCTTTAGAAACCATGTTTTTTATGTCACATTTACTAGAACCACAGACAAAAATATTCATATCCATTCTATATAACATATACGTAAACTAAACATAAATACATACTTACAAACCAATTGAATATATATGCAAGATTTCCTTTTTCCAGAAATGCAACATTTAAATCAATATCCACACATTTATACTATTAACATATATGAATTTATATTCCTAAGTCCTAAAAACAATCGAGAATAATATGCACAAGGAGCCTAAAAACAAAAGCAAAAAACTCTACCTTGTCTCATCATCAGCCATACCCTGCTCACTCCCATAATCTTCAACATCACTTCCAGACCCCAAACTGCCACTCCCACCACTTCCCCAACCTACCTCACCAAAACCCACCTCACGTCTCCTCCTATACTCCACAACCACACACCCAACATGGACAACACACTGCAAAATATACCCAACAACCCAAATCCTCAAAGGCACCACAGGCTTCTCCTCCATGCTCAACCCCATCACAGTGAACCCAACACACACAAAAGCCAAGTTCCACAGCAGGTCCAGAACTATGACGGGCTTCGAGTACGCCCAGTAGCTCTGGCGCTCTTCCAGCTCCTCCGCCGCGTTCTCTCGGACCCGAAACGAGGGCTCACGAAGCCTCATTCGGCGCCCGCTGGCGCGTCGAAGGAGCCGCGCAGCGCCGCGCAATGGTGGCGGGGCGTGGCGCACGAGCCGCCGGCTTCGGAGGAGGTCATCGGCCATTGAATAGCCGAGGAGTGGTGAAGTGTCCATGGCCTACTAGAAAATTCTTTTGAATTGGGTTTGATTTTCTGGGAATCGGGTTGTATTTGGATGTTGGGTTTGTGATTTTCGAATGATCAGAGTGGAATTTATGTGGGTTGCTGTGATTCACTCGAAACAGAGATTTGAAGGTTGAAGATGAAGATGAAGCATTTTGGAGCTAAAATTGGGTTTTTGGAAATCAAATTGGGGGATGAAAAGAAAATTTTGAAGGTTTAAATTGAAGCGTTTGGGATGAGAGAGAAGATTTGAAAGGTGAGTGAGCTGGTGTAGAGTGGGAGCTTTCTGAATTTTGGGTTTGGGATTTTTCAGTGATTTGATGGGGAGTTTGGTTTGGGACTAAACTGCTTTTGTTTTTTTCTTGGTATTTTGAATTTGAAGTCTGTGAACTTCATTTTCACCAGAAGAAAGAGTTTGTGTACTTCGTGGTTTGATTCAAATTTCTCACTTTTCACATGGGAAATTGCAATTGTGCTTCTAAGTATTTGGCTTTGTGTGTTTGAAATTGAATTCAAATTCCCAAAGCAATATTTTTTTCTTGTAAATAAAATTTTATACAATGTTATTTTACCATTGTATTCATTACAAACAATAAGGTAAGGTTTACAATATTAACTCATGGTGTCTTTGGTGCCTTTGGTGTTGTCATTGTTCAATTTAAAAAAAAAATTAACAGAGAGCGAATTTTAGACCTCTTACAATATTAAAACGAGAAGTATTGTCGAACTGAAAATTAGTTAAAAACAGTTCAAGCTTAGTATATTCGAATTTTCAACTACCTTCATGTTTGATTATCACTGAGTTTATCTTATATTTAAAGTGTTCAGGGTATATTCAAATGATAAATGCATATGAAAAAAAGATGTCATAATTATGTTACATCTAAAGTTCGATTCTGATTAGTTTCTCTTTTTGCTTGATAAACTCATAGAAACAAGGGGATGTTGGGAACATAGTTTATGTTGGAAAGTGGAAACACTAGTGATTGTGGAGGATGAGTGAAATGAGAGTGGATGATGATGTATTTGTCGGAAGAAATTTTACGAATACTTTTGAAAGCTGAAAGCTTCGGTTGGGATAGATGTACTACACCCACCCCGCGCCCACTGGCTCCTTCTGCTGGGCTCCCGCCACGTATCCGATGCAAAGTTGCCGCCGAATGTTTTCATTTCGCTGGCGTCATATTATCAGTGCTCATCTGTTCTGCACACTGTTTTTATAAAATAAAACGGAAAAATATATATATAATATTTTCAAAAGTCAATTTTCATTTTCTTATAAATTTACTTTGCTGAGTTAAAACATTGCAAAACATTATTTATTTATATATTTATTCTATTTCCAAAATAATATTATTATTTAAATAAAATAAAAACCGTTTCCTTATTTTAAGTGCATTTCCATCCATTTGCTATGACAAAGGCAAAGAGTGACAATGACTGTTACTATTCACATAAATAGTGTCTGCCCTAGCAATTTTTTTTGTTGGTTTTCTACTCATTGTCTTGACAATCCAAGAGTAACCACTATTCACATGAGATATGAGGAGATAAATTTATATATAGTTTTGGTGTGAGAAGTGAAGAATATAACTAGGTATTTATAAAAAATAAATATAAAATCTGCAAATTTTGTTTTTTTTTTTCCCTCCCTTTTTTTTTTTTTTTTTTTTTTTTTTTTGGTTATTTAATTGGATGCTGACATCACAATGACGTTAACTTGTCCAGGCAATAGTCCAAACAAGTCTTTTCTTTGGGCTTGTCCAGGTTGATGGAGCCCAACTCTTGCCCTAGCAAGACTTGGGCGCTGGAAACACATTTGGAGGCCTTGGGGGCCTCTTGCCCGAGTTGGGGCCTCCCGGTGAAAATGCTCTAAGAGCCCTGTTTCTCTTAGAAGAAAAACAAAACCTTTAGCTTTTCTTTTTCTTTTTCTTTTTTTTCAGAAATACATTTGGCATGAGAATATCATAAAATTGGAAATTTTGTATGGACTATATAGAATCAAATGGGCCCATATTAAGTTTTCTTGGGCCAAATCAGATCAATATTCTTCCATTGTTTTAAATAGGCCTCTTAAATAATAAGATAATGAGATGCTTATAGAATCCAAATAACGCTTCTTTCTGCAATTTGTCACTTGGGATGGTCTTGTTTTTTTGTCTGAACACTTGGGATGGTCTTGAGCTCAGCTGTATTTGTGAAATTTGGAAGCTTCATGATCTCTGTAATAGACAAGCACAAGCATTGAGAAGTTAAAACTGGCTATGAACAAATTAAATTCAAGAGTTTTGAATTTTTCCCACAAGGCTAATCAATTCAAGCACAAAGAGTTAGCCCATCTCATCCACAGCATTGTGGATTCAACCCAGTCTAAGTTCCAGGCGAATTTACTCCTGAATGATTTGTCCAAGTCTGGTCGACTCGATGAAGCCCGCCAGCTGTTCGATAAAATGCCGAGTAGGGATGAGTTTTCTTGGAACACCATGATAGCTGCTTATGCCAATTCAGGAAGGCTAAATGAAGCTAAACAACTATTTGATGCGACCCCAAGTAAAACCTCCATCACTTGGTCTTCACTCATATCTGGGTATTGTCGAAATGAGTGTGAAAGTGAGGCTTTTGTATTGTTTTGGCAAATGCAGCTTGAGGGACACAGGCCGAGCCAGTACACGTTGGGCAGTGTCCTAAGGTTGTGCTCAACTTTGGTTTTGCTCCAAAGTGGTGAACTTGTTCATGGGTATGTGATAAAGACCCAGTTTGACACTAATGCCTTTGTTGTCACGGGTCTGGTTGACATGTATGCAAAGTGCAAGCGCATTTCGGAAGCTGAATATCTCTTTGAGACTCTGCCAGACAGAAAAAATCACGTGCTGTGGACTGTTATGCTTACAGGGTACTCTCAAAATGGTGATGGTTTTAAGGCAATGAAGTGTTTTCGGGACATGCGAGCTGAAGGGGTTGAATCCAATCAGTTTACATTCCCTAGCATATTGACAGCTTCTGCCTCAATTTTGGCAAATAGTTTCGGGGCTCAGGTGCATGGATGCATTGTTCAGAGTGGTTTTGGGGCAAATGTGTTTGTCCAAAGTGCATTGGTTGATATGTATGTGAAATGTGGAGATCATAATAGTGCAAAGAAGGCACTTAAAAGCATGGAGGTTGACGATGTCGTTTCTTGGAACTCCATGATTGTTGGGTGTGTAAGGCAAGGGTTTACAGAAGAAGCTTTGTCCTTGTTTAAAGAAATGCGTTCGAGAGAACTGAAGATTGATCACTTTACTTATCCATCTGTTCTAAACTCCCTTGCTGCACTGAAGGACATGAAAAATGCAATGGCGATTCATTGCCTGATTGTGAAGACTGGATTTGAGGTTTATCAACTTGTGGGCAACGCTCTTGTTGATATGTATGCTAAACAGGGAAATATAGATTGCGCACTTGAGGTGTTTAAGCATATGTCAGACAAGGATGTTATCTCATGGACCTCCCTGGTAACCGGCTATGCACATAATGGCTCTCATGAAAAAGCACTTAGATTGTTCTGTGAGATGAGAACAGCAGGGATCTATCCAGACCAATTCGTAATTGCCAGCGTTTTGATTGCCTGTGCAGAGCTGACAGTTTTGGAGTTTGGGCAGCAAATTCATGCAAACTTTATTAAGTCCGGCCTTCAAGCATCCATATCAGTTGATAATTCATTTGTGACTATGTATGCAAAATGTGGGTGCATAGAAGACGCCAATAGAGTTTTTGACTCTATGCAAATTCAAAATGTGATTACTTGGACAGCTTTAATAGTTGGTTATGCCCAGAACGGTAGAGGAAAGGAGTCCCTAAAATTTTACGATCAAATGATTGCGACTGGCACACAACCAGACTTCATTACTTTTATTGGCTTATTATTTGCTTGTAGCCATGCTGGTCTTCTGGAAAAAGGTCAATACTACTTCGAATCGATGAATAGGGTTTATGGAATACAACCAGGTCCTGAGCACTATGCATGTATGATTGACCTCTTGGGGCGCTCAGGGAAGCTTAAGGAGGCTGAGGCATTAGTTAATCAAATGGTTGTGGAACCAGATGGGACTGTATGGAAGGCGCTACTTGCTGCATGCAGAGTACATGGGAACATAGAACTGGGAGAGAGGGCAGCAACAAACCTATTTAAAATGGAGCCTTTAAATGCTGTGCCTTATGTTCAGTTATCTAACATGTATTCTGCAGCTGCTAGATGGGAAGATGCTGCAAGAATCAGAAGATTGATGAAATCAAAGGGAATTCTTAAGGAGCCTGGATGCAGCTGGATTGAGATGAACAGCCAAGTGCATACATTTATGTCTGAAGATAGAAGCCATTCAAGGACAGCTGAAATTTATTCCAAAATCGATGAGATCATGATGTTGATCAAGGAAGCTGGATACGTCGCAGATATGAATTTCGCACTTCATGACATGGAAAAAGAGGGTAAGGAGCTTGGCCTAGCGTATCACAGTGAGAAGTTGGCTGTTGCTTTTGGGCTCCTCACCACACCACCAGGAGCACCAATCCGAATTTTTAAGAATATCCGGGTTTGTGGAGATTGCCATAATGCAATGAAATATATATCAAAGGTTTTTCTCCGGCATATTATACTAAGGGATTCAAACTGTTTTCATCATTTCAAAGAAGGAAACTGTTCTTGTGACGACTATTGGTAGAAGGTTCATTAGTTAACATCAAATGGCTGGTTTGTCGTGCTCTTCTTGAAGACCGTCAAGTTGCACTTCAAAGGTTGAGACCATCAACTCCGTCTCTCTTTTTCTTTCCCTTCTTTGATATCTTTGGATTATGTAGATCTAGATGAGAAACCTAAAACTTAGATGTTTGATGCAGATGAAACTTGAAGCTGCTGAAAGCTGGATAAGCAATGGGCCCCAAACCTATGACAGTCAAGTGAACACTGACGTAAATGGTAATATATGAACTTTCCCATCTCATACTCTTATGTGATGTGTTTTCTGTAAGCGCCTAACTTATGCATCTACAAGTGTGGCTTGCAGACTGTAGGGAATTATGTTCGTCAGTCATGTATGAGAATTCGAACTCTCATGTACTGCATAAAGAGATCTCCTCCTCATCCAATTGTCTTAGATAATGCAAACCATTTTCTACCTCCATCAAATCAGCTCATCAGGATTCTGAATCACTACACCTTGAGTACAGGATTTCTTGAAAATACAAGATCAGAGATTCTAATAAGACTATGAACATGCGGAAATATATTGTTTGTTGTATGTAATATTCCATCCAGAAAGCGGAGCTCTTAACAATTTCGAATTCAAAAACCATTTTGTAGTTCTATGTCTATCTGGGATTTAAGCCTCTTCATAAACCTCTTACGTCATAAGCCTCTTCAGAAATTTGCATACCTTGAAAGTGACTGGCAGCTGCTAATATCAAAGCTTAAAGAACCTCAATGTGACCTTCCTAGCAAGATCAGGCTATTTTGGAAGAGCAAGCTGTGAAGGTAAATGCCCAGAAAAATCAGTTGCGGCCCAGCTGCAGAGCTGCAAATAGCCTTTGTTGATCTCTATTTTTGTGGTGCACTCAGGTAGGGGACGAAAAATATTTATTTGTTTCTCTAAATTCAATGACCTATAATATATAGAGGTAATCTGGCACTAAAACATCTGTATTATTTCAGTCCAGTTTTGACCATGAACGCATTCTTGATTGTCATGGTAGATTCGATTCAACCACGGTAATGTTTAACTTTGGTCGAAATTCATCCCAAATTAGACAAAATTATTGCCTGGATGCAATCAGTGGTACGGAAAACTGAACACATCATTCAAATGTACAGGATTGCCTGTTATTTCACTCAAGGCCACTAAAAGGGCAAAAGCAAAAGATAAAAGAAGAAATTGGGGAATCAACTCGAATATTTGAATTTCTCTGTAAATAGTGGGGAACAGTATACAATGAGAACCTAATTTTATCTAAATGATCCCATTTAAGTTAGTCTCCACAATATTCATAGAACACTATATATGACAACATGATTAACATATACGTAAGAACTCATCTTTCAGTCGAGACATACAACATTACATTGTAAAAATTTTAATCTTGGAATCTCTGTGCCAAGCAGTCCCACTCCACCCCCACCTGAAAATTCCACCCGCAAGATCCATTTGTACGAACAGCCTGCCAGAAACTTATCTCCGATGCATAGTTCTGCCATGACTGATCTGAAAGGATCAAGAGACAGCAGACCCTTTGGGTGCAAGGCAGCATGGCTCATGTGAGCATCCAAGCAATCAAAACTGCATTTACATCGTGTACATTTATGACCCCCTCAGTTTCAATAATTAATTCCTAGCATGCTCAGGGATTAGACGATGTCGGAGTTCAGTGGAAGCGCCCGCCAACTCTGCACACGTGAGACATCAAGATTAACACAACTAACAAAGAAAAAAGTAAATAAAAACAAGGCCATAGAATAGTGCAAAATCTTACCTTGAGCCGTGAAATCGAACAAAGGAGGTAATGCTCGTCCATTGGGCAAGCTTACATTTGGGTCTCTCAAATCATCAAAGAAGGGGTGAGCACATGCCTCCAACTACAAACCAGAAAATAATTTAGTATTATACTTTAACCATTCACAAGCTCCAACAAAAAATTTATCAAGAGCAATTTTATTTTCTTACAGCTGTGCAACGTAGATTTGGTGAGTACTGGAGCAGCCTTGACACAAGATCCACTGCTTCAGGGGGCATTCGCTTGTGAAATATCTGAAGATTACAAGCACATTAAGATTTTCTGCTGACACAAATATAGATCCGATAATCCAATTGATGAAGAGCTGATAATAAATACTCAAAAATTAAAATACTGAACAGACCTTGTGCCATGGGTGAGCCTTGATCTGAGGGAACTTAAACTCAGTGTAATTCGGATTCATGCACTTTATTTCTTCTCTGGTTGGTGTCCCAAGAATCTAGTATGATACCCAAAAGAGAAAATCAGAATGCAAAATAGCAAAAGTATCACCATAACAAGCAAAAAGTGGATACATCTACCATACCTTTATAATCTCCACCAGCTGATCAACACCACTCTCCCCGGGAAACAGTGGCTGCAATGATACCAAAAATAGCCATGAGTTACTAGAAAATATAAATAAGGAAAGAAATCTGACATGCTATACACATACCTGTCCAAGAAGAAGCTCAGCAAATACGCAACCAACAGACCACATATCAATTGCAGTGGTATATTCTGTAGCCCCAAATATAAGTTCTGGAGCCCTATAATATCGTGAACAAATGTATGATATGTTGGATTCACCTGGCACCTAAAAATGAGAAAATAAAAGAATTCATAAGTTCCAAGACCTTCATGAATTCCAAGATATCATCAAAGCACTGTGACCTCCAGATTCACAAACTACGAAACATACCAACATCTTTGCACTCCCAAAATCACATATCTTTAGCTGATGCGTGTGGGGATTCACCTGCAATATACATCACAACCTCAACCTCAGTATGATGACAGAAGATACAATCTCATATCAATTTGAAATCAAAACATAGTAAACATATCAAAGGGCTGACATGCAGGCTTTAGTCTTTATTTAAATAATTGAAACTATCAAAACTTAGTGCTCATATCATATTCAAAGTCAACCACCACCCTTGTAGTGTGGTGGTATCCATCCCTTCTGTTAAATAAAAGGTCTTGGTTTGGTCGCCAAATGGAGTGGGTAATTGAACCCCAATATAATTGTTGTCAATTTTATCTATATAAGTAAAGTCAGACTGCTGTGATTGATAAAACTTATTCTGGTTCATTACATGATCAACACTAAAATCAAACTGATAAAAGTTAAAAGAAAATCTTACCAGCAAATTTTGTGGCTTAATGTCACGATGACACACACCAATAACATGGTGTAAATAATTTAATGCGCGACAAATCTACAAAGGATAAAACAACAGAATTTATTATCCAGAATAGGCATCATAAAAGACAAACCACTAAAGAAAAGGCAGGAAATAAAAATCAGCAGCAGGATTCCAAAATCACCTGGTATGTATACAACTGCACATAAATAATGGGAATATGTTGGTTCATCCTGATATAATGCTTTGAAACTCGGTAAACAGTTTCAGATATATACTCAAGGACAAGGTTAAGGTACAGCTCATCTTTGTCAGTAGTTGAAAAGAAGCAATGCTTCAACTGGACGACGTTAGGATGGTCGAGTAAACGCATAATTTGAAGTTCTCTATTTTTATATCTTTTATCCTGCAGCACCTTTTTTATTGCAACTGCGTCACTTGTTTCCAGACATTTAGCCTGCAGCATACAGTACAGTGAGCAAGGGAAAAAAATTGACGTCGAAATCTGTATCAGTGGAAAAGGAACCAACAAAACCTAAATAGTGAGCAAATCCAAATAATCTCATGTACCTGAAAGACAACTCCAAATGAACCAGTGCCAACTACACGCTCTGCCATATATGAAATTGTCTGTAACCAAATAAGAAAACTGATTAAAATATTATGAACAATTTATCTCAAATATAATACATCATGTACGTGTAGAGTGTAAATCAACCAAAGGCTCCAGCAGAAAAAGAGATCATACACAGAGAAGTTAAAAATCATTGAACATAAAGACTTTCTAGTTTGGTATTACTAAGTATTCAAGACAATGAAATTAAGAGACAACTTGGGAAATGCAGAAGCACAAAGCAGATAAATGAAATCACCTGTTTAGGTTGTCCATTCCGGCCTCCTACTGTTGTTGCAATTATATGACCAGTTTCTGTTCCATTACCATTTATAACAGTTTCTTCCATATCCTGCGCAGGGAAAATTTGCAACCATTTACTCGGTAACTGGTATTTGCTTGTTAAGACTTTGCTTTTTTACATTTAAAAAATAGCAGAGTGATAATATATACACATATCTGAAGGAAAAAATTACACGAAAAGAATTAACAACAAAAGTTACCTTTTCATCATTGTTGTTGGCCTTCTCATCTCTAATTTTCATTTCATTCATTTCTTTGGGAAGCTGATCATAACTTGACTTTTCTTCTTTGGCCTCTGTCTTAGCTATTGAAGATACATCAGATGTGCTTGCAACAGTTTCCAGTGATGTTGGAACAGTATGCTGCTCTAGACTGGTGGCACTTTTCTCAACAGTATTTGACTGTTTATTAGCCTTCTTCTCAGTTTCTTGGTCAACCTTTGCTCTCTTTGTAATAGAATCCACGCCCTGGAAATAAAAAATGAAACTTAGCTATAAATGATCAACAAATAAAAAGGTTGTGCAAAATATCTTAAACAATGACAAAAATAACACACATAGCCTTCATTATCTCCTATTAAAAGAAACCCAAACGTACAGATCTAAAATGGCATTTTAACTCATTGCTGTAAACAACCACACCAGTCATGAGCTAGTAGCACATATTCTTGTAACTTTATACACACAAACACATATTTAACATTCACACACATAATGGTATTTTAACTCATTGCTGTAAACAACCACGCCAGTCATGCGCTAGTAGCACATATTCTTGTAATTTTATACACACAAACACATATTAAAGTTAAACATTCACACACAAAGTTGGCATTGCATGTAAACCATAAAGGAACCAAAAACAGTCATTTGATGTATCAGCAATCCCAACAAAGGCTGCTCTTGTTACGTAAACTAACATTTTAAAACATCATTATCTGTGGTGACATAAAACTTTCTTTTCTCACAAGTAATTGCAATTGCAATGCATCATGAAAATACTAGACCAATCAAAAGTAGGAACAACTTAGTCTTGGGCAACATTGATCAGCTACCCACGCATAAAACGTAACAGCACAACAATTAAAATCCCATTTCGGCTCGGAACAGATACGTAAATACGATTGAAAATCCATAATTACCACCCCACCCCCCACCCAATAAAAATGGAATAATACATACATACTAATCTAATAAAACCATATGGTCCTTCAAATCCATACACGAAAAAACCGAACTTTTCTAATATGCACAGAAAATAGGGGAGAAAAATCATCAAAATGCTCAGATTTGCTAGTGGAAGAAAATCTAACATCTCTGTCTGAAATAGAAACAAAAAATGAATACATACACGTACCCCAAAAGAATATAATTATATATTAAAATATCCACTACATAAATCCAAATCATAAAAGTAAAAAAAAAAATATATCATCAACTGTATTTTGAATATCCAGATGCGAGCTTCAGAAATTTCAAATATCAGAAACCCAAAGCGCCATAAATCACGACATATAACTTTTGCTTTATTTTGATCCATTTTCTGAGCTAGCTAAACAAGCTCTAACGCTCTAAGCCAACAACATATGAACAAATATAAATATAAATCACACTTACAGGCTCCGATGAAACAGAGGTCCGACCCGAGGCAATGCTCTTAAGCCTTCGCATCATATTCATCTTCGTTTCTTCTATTTGATTCAACCAAACCCTAAATTCCTCCCAGAAAATGAGAAAAATCACAGAAGAGAGAGAAAGAATGCCAAGCTTTCTCTCTCCTCCTCCTCCTCCTCCTCGTCTCTCTGTTTCTCTCTCTCCCTTTGATTCAAAACCAGAAACCACAGAGCCCCAAAAGAATCAAAGGAAAAGAAAGAAGAAAACCCACAGCCTCCCTTTCTCTTTCTCTCCCCCGCTCTCTCTCTTTAAGATTTTTCAGGATTTCTCTCTAAAATTGTATTTGTATTTTTCTCTCTCTAGAATTTATCTCTGTCTGTTTGTTTTTTTTTTTTTTTTTTTTTGGGATCCTCCGGTCAAACTTGGACCGAAGAAAATCATTCATTCCAGCCTTACACCGTTTCTTTATCGTACCTCGGTCAAAGGTGAAACTCCGGCCGTTGATGGGATATGATGGGGGATCCAACGATGAGCATTTGCGGATTTTCCTGGTAAAGAGGACGTGTGGATTTACAAAGATATCCCCGGACGGAATATTCGGTGGGGGTGTTTTTTGACTGGTCATTGGACGGTTTGTTTCTGCGGTCAAGTTTTTAGGGCTTTGAATTTTATTTGCTTAGGACTTAATTAATTGTGCTGGCCATGATACCGTACGAATCGGTCTATTTTTTTCTTTTCTTTAATGTTGAAATTTCTGACCTGTTAAATCTAAAAATTTCATGTGACAACCACAAGGTATGGTGCGGTTGGCAAACTGCCGTTTCCAGCTGGTGAGTTACCTGGTGCTTTTAATGACAGGAGTTCAAAACTCATTGAAAACACCTTGTGACCAGAAGTAAGTCGAATCCTAAGCGGGAATTAATCTCACCCTAAATGGCAAGTAGATAATGAGTGTTGTGAATTGGTTTTTTTTTTTCCTCAAATAAAGGCATTGCCTTAAAACCAATGGGCAAAAACTAGAGTCATTGGAATTGTGTAGTTTTTGTTGCAAACCGATTCATGAAGGGGAGTAACGATGTTGTGGACAACAATGATGATCATTTGAAGGGTGTTTGTTGGTGTAATGATGAGTGAGCGCTTGATTAAACTAAATTAGTTTTTATCATCGAATCCTATATTACTCCAAGTTTAGGAAGCTAATTCTCAACTTAATTAGCTTCCCGAAAAGCATGTATGCAAATCCTGCATTGCGGGATCTCATTTAAGAAATTACTTAGTTTAGCTTTGATTAAAACTCGTCATGATCGATTTTAAACAGTTTAAACTTAAATTTAATTTGCATTTGAGTTGTCCAAATTAATCAATCAGCATGTTTCGCAAATATAGCATAATTATAGTTTTTTTAAATTTCTATGATGATTCAAAGATATCATTATATTGATTCTAACTTTAGTTTTTTCTAAATTTTTACAATGACTCAATATATCATTCTATTAATTCTAACATCAGGATCCGACTAGGACGTAGTGGACAAATACAATGCTTTTTTTATTTATATAAGTGATATTGAGAGAGTGAAAATCGAACTTAAGACCTCAAGTGTATGAGTAAATACTTCTACACACTCCATGCATATTACTTATTAATATACTACATTTTTATAGGGTTGGGTGATGCATAAATTCAAGTTTTAAATTCGACTTAAAAATTCAAATCTTGTTGAACTTCGGCGTGCCAACCCTCTGCCAAAATGTGATCATGGTTGGTAACTTCCCAACCGAAACCCAACTTGTAGTATTTCTAACCCGCCATCGACACACTGGCCTTCAAGTTGTAATAAATAAAAAAGTTCCCAAATATGATAATAGAAAACTCAACTTGTAGTGTAGCATCCATTCGACACACCAAGGAGGCAACGATTACATCAACATGTACATAGAATCCTATTGGCTTTATTTTTTAACTATTAGATCAAATTGATTAGTTTGATCCAGCGATTAAAAAATCGAACTTCAAATAAGACCTTCGTGATAGAAGGTCTGCACGTTCTGGGTTGGTGTGTGGGTCTAGTACTAGTTAGTTATACGCTAATCTTTGTTCGGGTCAGGCTATTTTTTTATGTTCTTATGGGTCTATTTTTATATTAATGTTTGCCTTGGGCGTTGCCCATTCTTTTATGTGGAAAAGAAAACACGTCATCGGCCCAGTTTGGTTGCAGCTCATGGCTAATCCTCCTAGCATTGTTATTAGCAGTAGGATGGTAGAGTCACTAGGCCCAAATTTATTCAGGTATAAAATGCGAAAAATTTGATGGGTAGGGGTAAATTGGTGCGTTTCAAAAGATTAGCAGAGTTTACAAGCAAATTGAAAGAAAGTTGAGGGGCACATCTGAAAATAAAAAAAAAAGGTCATAAGTTTGTGGTGCATTGCTAAATTTTTCGCTTATCATTAATTCTTGTAAAAACAAAGGGTGTGATGCAAGGGGGCTTATTATCAAGGTCTTGTGGTGAATTTCCTCCTCCTCGTTATCACTTGTAAAAGAAAAACAGATGGGACGGCCCAGCCTACATCATGATAAAGCTCAGAAGTAGCTAGCCATTGTTTATTTTCAAGTCTCAAAATTGGAAAGCTCGAAGATTTTTCTTTGCAATAAGTTGTTGGGTTTGGTTATCAAATTTTTGGGTGTGAATGTACTTAGCATCCCTACCAAACCATAAGCCTAGTTCACAAGACAGGACTAATGGGCTTGAAAGGATTTTTTGTTGTTTTTTGCTCTTTGCTTTTCCTCAAGTGGAGGAAGACCATGGGCTGGAAAAAGCCTTGTTAGTTACATATAATCAAGCACCACCTTATGAACCTGGGGAAAAATCATATGTTGTGTCAATGAACAAAAGAAGCTCCATTTCTTTCATGTTTTTATACAAGAGGGGGAGGGAGGAATTGAACCTAGGACCTTAAGTATAAAGGTAAATACTCTTAGTCACTTGAGTTACAAGTTCCTAATGGCAAGTCTTTGCTTTTCCATTTAAGTAAATGGTAACATAGCGATTCCACGAAGCATGGCATGCACATGCCAGTGGTAATCATAACTCAGAAAAAAATATTTGGGTTTTCAACCGAAATGATGCCTCAACTATTGTTTTAGTATCATTTTGGTTCATCAACTAAAATTTTCATTTCAATAGTCCTTCAACTCTTTATTTGATATCACAACGGTCCTATCGTCAAATTCTGTCAACTATTCTGTAAAATCAAATGGTGAAATTGTCTTTTTAGGACAGTACCCTCAGAACCAAACAAATTCCAAATTAGTCTTCGTCTTCTTCTTCTCTATTACTCCGTGAAGCCGTTTCTAAGAGCTCAGGAACCAAATAGAGCCCTCGAGAAAGAATGAGAGGTTGGAATGCCCTGAAAAGATAGTTTTGGCCCTCGAGTTCACGGAATAGTTGACAGACTTTGACGATTGGACTATTTTGATACCAAATAAAGAGTTGAAGGACTATTCAAATGAAAATTTTAGTTGATGAACCAAAATGATTCTAGAGCAATAATTAGGATACCATTTTAGTCGAAAAAACCACAATAATTCAATGTTTGGCACGTGAACCCAAAAACACAACTCAAAGTAACATCAAAACGTCACTCTTGACCTCCTCTTGTTTCCATGCAATTTAATTAAGGGTACATTGATTCTCTAAAGTTCTCTGTTGAAACTTAAGACTTTGAGAGATTGATGATCGGTGGAGGCTTCGATGCTTTTGAAAATATATTCCTAGTCACTATATAGTGTATGCGGCAGCCTACGTTTGCACGCCTAATTAATTGACATATTATAGAGAAAAGTGTGGCCTTTTATTTCTAAGAGAATTAATTAAACTCAAAGACTTTGGCTGGCAAATGGTCCTACATATTCAATGCACCCAAGTTAAGAGTGTGCTTAAAATTGCAGAATCTCCCATCCTCTATGCGCATAATGATGCCTAAGAGCTCCCGCAACACACCAACTTCTCCCTTTTTCATTGAAAGCTGAAGAGGATTAGGAAAAAGGGTTTTCTTGTATTATTATCATCCATATGTCAAACTATGCCTTAAATGTTATATGCAATTTCAACAAATACTACATACACGACACGAATATCTCACAAATTCTCACTTTATCATATTTTTCCGAGGAGGACCACTTTGTCAATCATCATTTAATTTAGTAACGTTTAGTCTCTAATTTGTTGAAAGAGGTTATGACGTCTCAGTTTATATTTCATGGACATCGAAGTGTTATATCATTGAAAAAAAATATAAAGAGGATGTAATTTTGAATATGAATCGTATGGAATACATGCCTATATGATTGGTTGAGTATGGGCAACAGCCAGCCCCATCTGATGCTGCTCCAATGATGGAGTGGAGTGCAATCTCTATATTATAGGCAATCAATATCATCAATGTGAGTTGGCCTGCGTACTCTAATTAGGGTAAATGAGCAGCTAAGCAAAATTGCGTATATCTGAAGACATAACATGTTTCCATGACTAAGAGAAAAGACAACTATATATAACCCCCCCACCCTAACACTTTTGAGCTGGAAATTTATTAGGGTTGGCTTATACATAAAACCTAGGGTATGTAGGTACATGACTTAAGAATTATGCTTGTTTCGCACAATCGGTTTTGGATGGGTTGGAGAGAAATCCATAGAAAAACATTCCTATTTTGATGTTTAGAAATGATGGAAATGAGGAATGATTTAAGCAGGATGTTACGCACGTTTATTATCTGGAAGTATAAATAAAATAAAATCAATATCAGATGTGAATTTGGTTGATTGATTAAGGTAGTGTGTTTATCTCATTGCATCCAAGTTTGATTCCTTTTCACATGTAAACATCACATTGTCGAAAAGAACAAACCAAATTACAACAACAATAAACCTAATTTTTTACTTTGAGAATAACTTCTAACCTTGCGAATTTAGGATAAAATAGTCACGAATAAAGGAAAACTCGAAGAAATTTACATTTACCAAACTTGTTGTGAAGATAATAACTTCATTGGATACGGTAAATGGTAACTTTTTGAGACACAGTAAAAGTCGTTTTCCACTGTTGTTTTTTTATGGGGACGTCTTGTGTGAAGATTTACTATTGGTAAATGGTCCCCCTCCCACACAGCGATCCATGGCATATTTCATGGCCCCTCATGGCCACAAATAATGCGTTGGGACTTCACTGTGGAAGATTGACATAGCCCATCATCAACAGGACCCACTCTGCATGTGATGGGTTGGGACAGGGAGGGGATGATGTGTATATATAACACAACAGTAAGTATGTCTATATATATATATATATATACATGCATCTGATCATGAATGAACTGCTGCGCAGTGCAGGGGAGAGTTTGTATTGTAAAGGAGGACTTTGGAGAAATAGGACAAGATAAAAAAGGCAATGTCCAAAGCTAAAAAGCCATGAGCAATTGAAATTTGACTATGAGGGCCAAATGCCATTTCCCCTTTTGTATAACCTTTCGTTTTCTTGACTTTATTGCCTTTGTCCGCACCTATTTAGCTGGCTCTAGCTACCAAGTAATGCCTGTCTAGGAGTTGCTTGTGAATGCATCCTAACATGTACCAACAATAGCACTTTTGCATGATCAAATTGCAGAACGAGTTGAAAATAAATAAATTACACAAGGTTCATATCAACATCGATCTTTTTTTCTCTCTTAACTACTCACATCAACATCGATATTTTTCCTAGCTTTGGACATTGAGTAAAATGAGGTTCAATGAACCCATTCAAGCGTGGAGTTTTAACTCAAAATGGGTAATTGGTACTAAACCACCCACTTCTAACTTATAGCCTATTGTGATACTTTTTAGATGTGAGATTATTCATCCCTACATCCGTAACTTGTCTCGAGCAACGCAATCCTAATAACATGAACATAATGTTTTTAGGTCAAGTACAACAAATGAACCCATGAAGAAGCTTATTCCAATTTAAATTCCCTTGGTAAAAAAGCTACAAGTTTAGTCATGCCATTAAATTGACTGTCACAAGATGTTAATACGACCACGTAATATATAATCAGTTTACGTGTTGTAATATGAGTGCTAGGTGACAACTGTGAATTATAATTATTTTCACTCTAAATTTGTACAAGTCAACCTTATGCTCCCTTAGCAGTACATATGACATAACTATCAAAGCTTCACCGTCCAACTTCCAACCGACCAAACGGAATAGGCTTAACTATTCCCCCCATCCAATTCCAGTCCAATCACACAACACAGTTAATTCACATTCAGCCTTCCTGTGATGAGCGACGCTTTCACAGTCCGTGTCACCATTTCAGATTTCATTGGCTCCAGCAAATTAACCGACACACCGCCGAAAAAAACACAAAGGAAAAGGAAAAAAAAAGGGAAGGGTATTTGCATTTGGTAAATACAAGAGAGAATTTTCACTCATTAAACATTGCCAGAGTCTTTCTCAAGTCAACAACAAAATAAATAAATAACACAGAAATTGAAATTCACAATAATTTAAATGAAAATTAATAATTATAAAAAGAGACCCTTCTCTTTTTTTTTTTTTTTTTTTTTTTTTTTTTTTTTTTTTTTTTTTTTTTTTTTTTTTTTTTTTTTGTTTACGCTTATAGTTTGCACTCTTAAGCCAAACAAACGTTTACTCAAATTTTAGAGGGTCCTCCGAGTCAATACCCGAACCACCCACCAGCCTTTGCCTTGTGCTGCTGCTGCTGACAACACCACTCTCACACACGTGCGGTTCGTTCTTGACTCAACACCCCACCGCATTACCCTTCATACCCACCACTCCCAGTCTTCAGCTCGCTCGCTCACTCACTCACACACAATCACCTAAAATAACTACAAACCACCGCCACCACCACCTTCATGCACATGCACAACACGACGTCAATATTGTCAACAAAAAAGGGAAAAAAAGAAGCTAAGGTGAGGTTGGATCATGTGACCCACACAACAGGACCCGATCAGATAATCAGCTTTCACAATGTAGGGCGGCCTTGATCTTCTGGACAGTGCACGAGATGAGGTTGTTGACGGTCTCCACCGACTCCACCGTCAGCTTGGCTGAGGGCAGGCTGTTCACCAGGATCTGAAACGTCATTGTCAGTAGGGACCCACTCACTCTATGCGTGGCGTCCTCGCCTCCTCCCCCATTGCTGCTTCCGTGACCGCCACCTTTGACGGTCATAGGCCCACGCGAGCCCGGCCCATCTGGGACGATCGCAAACCCGGACGGGAGGAGCGCCACGTAGGCGGAATCCCCGCCGTTCATGACAACGTGCATGGCCGGAATGTCAACAGGCGCGTACACCACAAGGCCTCCTGCAGCGTCTATGCACGTCTCTTGCAAGATCAGCATGCTGCTTTGGTTTGCGTTCATTGCCTGCACCACCGCAAACATGACCCTCAGTTTCCCCATATTTACACCGCATGCCATTCCATAATTTTAAGAGTCAAACCCCTGACCTCACCACTAGTTTGTTTTTATTTATTTGTTTTTTTCTCTTTTCTGATTGAATGAATAAATAAATAAATAGAAAAAGTTAAAGGTAAGAAAGTAACAACTCAAGGAAGTTGACAATCGTCCTTGAATTTTGACTTTTTTTGGAGATTTCCGAAACAAACACTGTCCCTAATGTCTGCACCCTCTGCACCCCAAAACCGTCCCTATGGATACTTCCAAATTCCAAACTTGTCCTTTCCACATTCACCTTTTTCACCCCCTCCCACACAACGACACACTGGATTTGAAACTTATCCGCCACCAAGGACACATTCGTCATTATAAAATAAACAATAAAACAATGAAAAAATTATGACGAGACAAAGGAAGAAACAGTACTCTGGCGCGAAGGAGGGAGACGCAGTTGCCTGGATCCTGGCCCTTGGCGATGTGGGCCATCTCCTGCATGGGCCCACCGTTGGAGAGTATGTCCCACTCGCTCCTGAGTCGTTCGTCACGCAGGAAATCAAAGAGCCTCTGTGGGGAGACGGGCAGCCAGACTGAAGTGGCAGCGCTGAGAACGATCCCAGGCGGCTCGCCCGGGTCGTCGAGGCTCTCCCGGGTCATGACCCGGACGTCCTCATCCACGTTCCTCGCGTTCAGCTTATTCCATTTGTGCACTGTGGACGCGCACACGCCTGCACAGAAGTTGTCCGTCATCCGCTGCGCCAGCTTCAGCATGCTCCTCCGCCCGCTCGCCGTGATCGCTAGTATAAAAAATACAAAACCAAATTTTACATACATTTGAAGTAGGTACATCGTTTGTATGGGAATGGATACTCAAGAAATTTCAAAGGATCAGTGATCACGTACCAGTGTGGTCGCGGGTGGGGACGGAGGAGGACATGAGAATGGCGAGGCACTCGCATTGGCGTTGGAGGGTAGCGACCCACCGTTGGGCGCCGAAGCCCATGCCGGAGCTCAACATGGGTCGGTAGAGCTGGTGGACTTGGCTCTCATCGTACTCTGCATGCTCAACCCATGTAACCTGCAAAATGTTAAATCATGTCATCACGATTACTTAGTAACATGTTACATTACTAATTAGGCTTAGATTAACATAATCATTCACATATATACAGTGTGGTATGACAAGGCACAGTTGCACCCACCTAACAAAAGAAGCAAAATTGTGGAGATTTAATTACAAAGCAATAATAGTTCATAGCCAAAGGTAGGCTGAAGCCAGCTAACCAAAATTTAAGTTTTTTTTTTCCGTAGTTGTTGAAGTAGCCTTTGTGGGGCCAGTGACACATGTCACATACGGATACATCTCTAAATCTAATGGAAGAAATAGAAAATTAAACAATAATAATGAGAGACATGGAAATCACACTGCCATCGAGCAAAAAGAGTAAAATATTTGGGTGTACATAAAGTTGCGCAACATATAAAGGAGAGCATAGGGTGGCATCGAGATTTGGAAATGGTGTCTACATCAATTATTTATATATACACCCTAGACCTAGAGAGAGAAAGAGACAAAATTAGGCAGTCTTGGAGTTTGACAACAAGGTCTTCGATAATACAAGGCAGCAAGCATCAAAGATTGGAATAGAAACATAAAAGGCAAGGAATAGTTTATTAAATTTGACCCGAGTTGAAGATTACAAGGCAGTTTGGGGTTGTGGAGGATATGAAATTAATGTGTTCAAGGTACAGAAATCTGGGGTTTAGAGGCTTCTGATAATAAACTATTTTGGGTTTAGGGTTTAGGGTTTGAAGATTAGAATATGATTTGGAGAGACCAGATGATAAGATTTGAGGAAGGTTCCGATTCTTTGAGAGACATAAAATATTGGGTTGGTAAGGCCAATCTAAGCAATGGGACAGCGTGGTGATGTAGTGAGTAATCACTAGACTAGACAAATAAAGTTCTTTGATGCATGAGCTCTTTTAAATAATTAATTGATTAATTAATTAATTAATTAATTAATAATTAAGTGGTGGCTTGGGGAATGTAAATAATGCTAAAAACTATATATGCTAAGTAGAAAGAAACTCAATAATATTGACTTGGATTTTTTGGCTCACTTAAATGTTCTCAACTAAGCTCCAATGTTGCAGTTACTTCAACAGACTCATTAAAGGCCAAAGGGGAAGAACACCCACTTGGGAAAGCACAATAAATGTTAAACCAAACAAATATGAACCATGTAACTGAAGCTGTACTTGCCTTCTGGGACAACGCATTCCAGATAAGCATTTTGAATTCAAACAAATAAATTAAAGCTTTATGCCGACTGTTATCTGAGTTGTGTTACGGTCAGTTGCTCAGACGCAAGTCGGTGATTCCTAAGTTAGATAAATATGTTTTTGATTTTACCAAAAGAGAAAATCATTTAACTCTCAAGGCATATATGTAAAGAACCAAATAAGCTATGATAGACTTGAATGGAAAGTGGTATTACTTACCTTAGAGTACCCATTAGGCATATCTTGCACAACACAACCAGAAGGGAGCCTCCTGCAGTTCATAAATGTAGGTGCACCGGAGGTGTCACGGATGGTGTCGACCGACACATCAACCACAGCCCACACGCCCTCTGCGTGCTGCTTGCAGAAGCGGAGGAAATTTACCTCACGAACAGGAACCAAAGGGGATAGTACTTGTAGCTCAGCATGCATCTGAAATTTGATTAAAAAAAAAAAAAAAAAAAAAAAAAAAAAAAAAAAGAGACACCAAAAATGTGTGACACAAAAAATGCAAGTAAATATATTTCATTTTATTTTCTCTTTAGGACGATCAAGTACTTACCAGTTGAAGTGCACCATTTCTAGTTCCCCCCATTCCACTAGAAATGACATCAGTGGTCGAGGTTCTAGCAACCAAACAAGGAAACATCTCCAACCACCGATTCTGTATCGAGCAAAATGCGATTTGATTTTGAACATAAAATAAGCAAAAAAATATTTGAAGAAGCATTGAAAACCAAAAAATACACAAAAAGGTCAAAATCTCAAATGGCATCAAATTTCAATACAAAGTGTTTGCTCTTACCGATTCCATCAAAGTCTCAACAAGGGCCAAGCTGTTGATAATGACCATGCCAGTCTCCCTAGAAGCCTCGGTAACAAAACCATTTGGCTTCAACCCAATGCAAGGAGTGAAACTTCTCATGTATTCTTCATGGTTCAAAACCTCTCTTCCACCCTCCAAGCTCCTCAGCCAAAGTGGCTCATCTGTCTGAGCCAGCTTCACCAATTCATCCATAGCAGCCAAGGCAAGCTCTAGAAACATCGATCTCTCCATCGACCGGTCCAGGCCGGTCACACTAGGCCTAGAGTGAGGCACAACTGACATGGCGCTCCCAATCCCACCTCCAAAATCAGGCCCCACTGGCATTGATGTAGCCACAGAGCTCAACCCACCAAAGCCATTGCTCCCAACTCCGAGCTCCAAGGTTGAGCTCGGTAGTGGAGGCCCCATTGATGTGGCCAGTGACGAAATGGGGCGGCCTAGAAACTTCCCAGCGAGTGCACAAACTCGATCCAACTCGTCCTTCAATCGGGCATTTTCGATCCTGAGGTGTTGCTCTTCGAGTGATATCTCTCCTATAATTGCAGGACCACCACAGTTTGAGCAAATTGGGTTCCTCATTGCGTCCCGAATCGACATGTTCTCCGCTCGAAGTTTGTCATTCTCTTGCCTCAGCAGTGAGTTCTCATGGCGTTCCAGTTGAGTCTAATAAGTCCCAAAACGACCAAAACTCCATCAACCCTCAAGAAAAGAAAAGAAATGGAAACTTAAAAATGTCTGTGTAGAGCAATTTACCTTCATCTGGGTTCGGCGATTTTGGAACCAGAATTTGACTTGTCTGGTCTCCAAGCAAAGCCTTCTGCTGAGCTCCAATCTTTGCTTCTCATCAGGATGAGGACACTCCTTGAACAGCCTAAAACCAAACCCAAATTATTTAAAAAAAACACAAACTAACAACCAAACACTGAAAAAGTCAATAATTTTATGCAAAAACAGTAAAATAAAATATGGGATTTTTATTATATCATACGCTTCAAGTTCTTGGATTTGCTGCGGGGTGTGTCGGTGGTATCGTTTTTTCTTACGAGGATTGGTATTATCAGCAGCATCTTGATCGTCCCCAGAACCACCATCCATATTATCACTCCCAGATCTGCTCTCGTGCTCTTCCTCTCGGCTCCTCCTCCCAACGTGGGTCTCAAAATTCTCAGCCATTCTCGTCACATCGCCTTGCCCATCCGCATTTGTCTGCTGATAGCACAGTAATTTTTTTAAAACAAAACCAAAAAATAACAAAAACCCAGATCAGTTTCAAGACCATACTTTCAGAAACAAAAGAAAAGAGAGAAAGATGAGAGCTTTACAAGGGCGAGTGAGAGTCCTGGAGAGTTGAACATGGACTTAGTGAGAGACTGAGTTACAAGACGTGGCTGAGCAAGTGCACTGGAGGGCATATTGTTGCTGTGGGTGCTGCTTGAAGTGTTGTTGAAAGAGATATCAGCCACAATTCTTGCACCGCCACCACTGCCGGTACTGTTGTCAAGAAAACCCCCAAAACTCATCAAAAAGAAAAAGCCCAACTCTCTTTTCTTTGCTTGCTTCTTCTTAACTCCTCCTCACACACCAGATTCTCCTCCTATTTCTTTACAAATTTACACCCACTTCGCTTAATGACCACGTAATTTGCTCTCTCCACACAAAATGAGAAGAAAAAATATAAATATTTTGACAGAAAAAATGATCTCTTTTTGTAAGAGAAAGAAAAAGCACAGAGAGGCAGAGGAGACAGACGGTTCAGAGTTAACCCAAATGTCTCCAACTCCCTCTCTAGCGAAGGAAATGTTTTAAGGGGTTCTTTTGGAGAGAAAGAAAGAGAAAGAAGGCAAGCAAACCCTTTTTTGGTACACGCTCCAGCTGCTTAGCTCTTCGTTCTCTATCCCTCTCTCTCTCTCTTCCTTGATTTTCTCTCTCTAACTCGCCTAAACAGCGAAAAGCACCAGAAGAGGCCTAAATGACTGCTGTTTGGTTTGGAGGAAAACCAAATAAGGGCAACCCTAGCTTGTTGGGTGAGTGATATCTCTGGTTCACTGCATGCTTGACTCCACTCTAAAAAGGCTTGAGAGACTTGAGAAAAATAATAAAATGAGATAGAGGAAAAGGCTTTTCCTTTTCCAAGATTTGCACAGAGAAAAGCAAAAAAAAAAAGCAGGTGCGAGAAACAGTAGGAGAGAGAGAGAGAGGGGGGTGAAGATAAAACGCACTATGTGGACTCTTCGAAGCCTTACAATACAAAGCTCCAAAAAGGGCCGGTTGACTCTCTCACTCTCTCTGAAAGTCTGTGAAGACAGTGAAAAAATTGTAACCTTTTCACACCTTTTTCTTCTGGAGGTTCGGATCTATGACACTCTTTCTATTTCTCTCTCCTTTTTTTTTTTTAACTTGGTACTGGTAATGGGGTTTTTTTGTACCTAAAGTTTATATCTTTGCTTTGCTAGAGGTCTGAATTTTCCACCAAAGATCTAGATTTGCAGAATTTAACTTTCTTACTGTCCCTTCTTCAGACAATGTAAATATGACAGTTCCTTAAATACATTATAATAGTTTCATTTGATATGGTATGTAATTTTGGTAAAAGTAAACATGGTATGCAATTAAATTGGACAATTAAGAAATCCAATATTAATACTAAATATGGAAAAATATCCTCACAATTCAGTCCATTTCAGATTTAGTCTTATCTAAAATAACAATTCAGTCCACAGTTCCTAAAAGAGGCCTAATTAGCTTTCATGCTCAGAAAAATATACTTTACAATTGGTCACATCATGAATTTTGAGCGTGCAGTTGAACGTTTAGGTTATTTAGGTCGTTGGGTCGAATCTAATTATTCCTTATTAGCAAGTTAATGTGAGTCATTGAAAATAATTTTCCCACCAAAAATTACTCATTTGTGTTTAAAAACTTATGCGTAGCTAAGAAATACAATTGTCGGGTAATGAGTAATGAATGAAGGAAAATCTTTTCAAATGTTTTATTGGGTGAAAATTAATAACTGAATAAGGAAATCCAATTAACAAACTCTTTTGATTCGTTTTTTTTTCTTAAATGTTTCGGCTAGGGTACTTACTCAGATAAAGAGCTTTTTCGGGTTTCGGCTAGGGCACTATGTGGTTCTTAAATGTTTTATGCGTTCATGTGGGTGAATCCAAACACAACATGATTATAAAACAGTCGGATTATGATTAACTAGCTCTACACAAAGCTAACCAGATGTTAAATTGTTGGCAGAGAAATAACACAAACTGCCGCCCTTGTTAGTCATGGCAAACCATAGCTAACCATGGTGGTGGGTTTTAATTTTGCTTAATAATGTAAAGAATTTCTGATTAACATTAATCTCAAGGTTTAAAGAAAGTTTCCATTTCCTCAGTCTTTTTTTTTCCTTGTCTTAAGTTTCTTCGTGTAGAGAGTTACTATCGTTCTTCTTTATCTCTTTCCCTTCAAATGCCAGTTCCACTTTCTTTTTGAAGGGCAAATAAAATTCTAATTGTCTTCTCTGTGCGTCTCTTTCTCCTTAAATACTTATCTTATGGGGTTTGGTCACCTTATAATTACACTATTATTTCTCAATCACAGTCGTTGTTATATTTTGAAGCCCTCATTCCCCACAAACCATTTTTACAAATAAGCCCATTTACCTCCACAATCCACAAAAGCACCTCAAATCCACAAACAACTACCAGTCAAGATCCGGCAAACACCATTTCAAGGATGCAGTTGTGAACCATTTTTTTCTCCAATTGAAACTTCAATGTCTGAAACATTAATTCATTGACTTGTTCCTCACTCGCCATAATAATTATTTGACAAACAAACTTGGGGTCTCCACCTATTTGTTGCACCTTGCATGTGATGATTTTTTTTCTTTGCATGGTTTTTGTAGAAAAATATATAATCACAATACCCTTTTAACCCCTCTCTCTATTTCATATCTTACTCATTTTCACAATAAAAACAAATAAAATTTGACTAGTTCATTCACAATGAATTTGACCAAGACTTGATTTGTGGGTAGCAAAGGAGACACATGATGTCTAAAAAGACTTGGTCTAAGAGGTTTCATTTATGGGTCTTGTGGAAATCTCCCAGCTTTAACTAATTACATTGACTCCATTGGTATTTTTGGATGTTGCCCTACAACGTATAGTTGGTTTCTTTGATTATGCTGAGATTGTGCCCGTCTCCTTAGATCATGCTTGGTCCTTCTAGATTCTGATTGTTTGATGTTCACTTTCCTTTTCCTGCATTTATCAATACAATTATCGTCTCTCTCAAAGCACAATCGAAGTATATGGCATTTGCTTTTTTTCTTTTATTTTCACCCCGAGCAATGAAACTTTAATAACAACGGAAAAAAAGAAAGAAAAAAACAATGAGTTTGATAGTAAATGAATATCATCTGTTGTGAGTAAAAGAATTGTGTTAGCCATTAATAATATTGTTTATGTGATGTATTATATGGTTGAATTACTATTTGATATTTAAGCCTCATAATTGATGCGAGTTTAAATATATGCTCCAAACCTTTTGGAGATAATGGCTAACAAAACACTAAAAACCCAACACAAAAAAAAAAAAAAAAAAAAAAAAAAAAAAAGAGAGAGAGAGAGAGAGAGAGAGAGAAGAAAAAAAAAAAATATTCTCCTCCCATGCCGTGTCCATGAATTGCTCAAAAGTTCTTCGCATTTCAACGATATATATTTGGGAGTTAGATAATCACATCCGTTAAAATAAAAATCCTATTTATTTAATTGCCATAACTGATAAAAGAAAATAAAAAGTAGGTGTATGACACATCACTTTCTTTATGAAAAAAATGAGCAAAAGGTTTGAACAAATGTTGCCAACCAAACATCCTCATGATATATTTTCCCAAGTAGTTTTTGAGAAACAATTATAAAAGGTATTTTACAGACAGAAAAAATGAAAAGCAAACCTTTCTGTGATTTTTGAGGTTGTTTGATTGCAGGAAAATATGTGGCAGAAGTAATGGACACGCAGTTAACTATTTCTTGGTTGGTTTTCAATGATCTTCTTGTTTGAAAACCAAGAGAGATGAATAAGGGTCCTTTTTTGAGGGTGCTCTCAATGGTCTTTGTTGCTTAATAGATATAACAAAAAAAATGAGTAGATTTACAGCTCAATGGTTGAAAACTAATCACTCTATAATGTTGACATGTACTGTATCTATGCAGTACAATTTTGAGACTCAATTTTAGGCATTCTCCAATCATGTACACAAACGGACCATAATACCAATTCAGGCAAAAACCCAGACGGAATAACGCCCCATATATTGCCTATATCGAACATGATTGGAGATGCCTTAACGTCTAAGGATTAAATTCTATATCTATATGTAAACCCTGCTTCTATTTTATTTTATTTTTAAATTTTTAAAAAACCCTGGTTGAAAAATCACATTCATGTTGAGCCATGTTGCTCTCATCTATATAGTTGTCATGGATTTAGCTCTGTGTAAAAGGGCATGCACAGCACATGCTATGTTTTGCTGACAGACAAAACCTATATATGCACAGCCCATATACACACACACACACATACATATGTATATATGTATATAGCCCAATCCAGGATCAATCATTTCACTTTTCTTTCTAAATTCCCTTTCAGCAATCCAAAGTGCACGCATTTCATCTTCTGACTTGTTTGGATCAATTAATAATGGATGTTGAACTTGAGATGCCTTCTTAATCATGCATCATTTACTTTGACTGAATGCTTGCTTATTATAAAAATTACCGGGATCTGTCAACTTCTGGTAAGTAATGTGGTCTCTTCTCTCCTTTGCAGCATGTAATCTCATTGCAAGCTTTGGCATTGTGGTACAGCTTTGACCTTCCTTAATTCTTCAAGGTGTGAAAGGAAAGCAACAAGGATGGGATAATAGAGTAGCAAAAACTAGGCTTACAGAAAGTCAATAATAGTATTGACTGCAAAGTTGATGCTGCCAACTACACTACAGACAAGCAACCCTTTACAAATTTCGTGTACCCTTTGATCAATTTTCTTGGTTCCCTCTCCTCATATGAACACAAGGCAAAGCATAACTCTGACTTTGTTGTTCAGCCTCCCAGCCAGATTAACAGTAATCAGACCATAATAGAGCATTAATTGTGATGTCCATGATCATTTTTACAATACTTAAGTGTTTCATTTTTGTTTCCTTCTGAAAATTGAAAGGGCTATATTTGTATGCGAAAGTGGTGAAAATCTCTGAGAAAACTCATACAAATGCTATCAAAACGGTAATAAGTTTTTTTCTTCTTGAAAAAACATTAATAAAATTTATTGTTGATCCATTCTGAGTGCAAATCATTGTCTTCACATGTCATAGTTATTAAATAAGAGAAGTGTTACGATGAATAGTCTATGCAAGAGTAGATGATTTCTGATTGAAATGCATATGTGTTTCATATTAGTAGTCAGAAATCAATCACGTGAACACATACGACTAAACTATAGTGTCTAGAAGTCCTTTGCGTTACCACTTTGAAATAAAATAAACCAATTCATTGATTTTATTTTGACCCCAAATTATTCCTTATTGCAACAAAAAATAACTGCTTCCTCTTCTACTTATTCCCCAAGCATTCATTTTATGCACTTCCTTTCACACCTGGCCTTGAAAAAAAAACCCAATTGGAGCAGTTCAAGTACTGATTGGGTGAGAGTTCGAAGATGAATTTTCTTAGTTTTGAACCTGCATCACCACCTTCTTAATTATCAAAAGTCTTTTCTGCAATTTCTTGGTTTTGATGGGGTCCATCTGTGGGGGGAAGATGCCCCCAAAGTAAAAGCAGAAATAAAATCCTGGGTGTTGTCAGTTGTAGCTATCATCTGAAGGAAACAGCCCAACTCTGAGCTTGCGTTCTACATTTACTTTGCATCTATCTAATCTACTACCGCCTATCTAATCTATCTGGGCCTCCTACTCTTTCCTTTCTCTCTCTTTCTCACCATTCAATGAAAGGACCCAATGGGAATGGAATGAATACTTAGACGCCGGTTGGGAGTTTGGCACCTACTCATCTACTTGCATAGTTACTCTCCCACATGTTAAGGAGAAACGAATTTCCTTTGTTTGGATGGCAAGAAAAGTCATAAGAAAAAGAAGGAAAGGAAATTTTTTTATTTACCATTTTTTACCCTTTAGCTCATTTCAAGAAAATGTCTTATTGATTGTATCCATTATATTTATCAACACTCAAAATTCTTCTCATACCCTCTGAGAATTTTAAAAATCTTAATTCTGCACTCTTACATAAAAATCCTTCAGTTTTGCTCACAAGGGTTATAATTCCAGACATACCCTTCGGCATAAAACAATCAGAAGAATGTGATTACATCTTGACTTTGGGAGCAATTGTCATTTTCATTAGCACACTGTGTGAACAGGGCATGAACACTGAATCTATCAAACGATCTGCCACCATTTTCTCCCCTTGAAACGACAATGTTTTGAGGACAAATGCAATAATGCAAAGCATCATCAAATTGATGGGCAATAAATAATATCAAATTACATTATCCTTGGAAACTGAACATATGATTGCCACTTTCTTTTTCCTTATGTTTTTTCTTCTTTTTTGGGTGTAATCTAACAAAAAAGCTGCATGTCTTCCCATCTTTCAAGCCCTCCCTATTCTAACCCTATTATCTCCTTACATAATAGGGAGTGGTGGATAAGAAAGAAATTACATCCATGCATGGAGATGAACTTTCACATCAGTTGGATGCTGAAGGCAAAGTCCAAAACGTTTTCGTTGCAACAAGAATTTTCTCTCTCCCGTGTGACTCTGGTTCTTTCTCATGTATGCTAGCAGTCCACCTTACGGCATGAGCTATGCGAGCTACTTTTTCTATTACTTCAGGGGAGTCTCTAACCAAAACCGTTCCTTCAGGACGCAACATTCGATCCATCTCCACCATCAAATCCACAAGGTTACAGCTGCAGAAAAATCAAGAGACGTGAGCATAGGTTGTTTAAGAACAATCATGCACTTCAAGTATCTTGCCAAATATATGTAAATGTCACTTTAGGATTACACTGAACCATGTGCAACGGTTTAATACTGCTGTAAGAATGTAGGAATCGGTAGATTCAAGAAACAGAATGGGAACTAGAACTGTAGAAGTACCTGTTCTTGGTGGAACCTGGATGCTTTATGAGTGATTCAATTCCGGTTACATGGATGAAGTCATAAGAACGAGGGTACGTTGAGAAAGGCTCACACCTGAGACCATCAAGCAAAAATATTAGCTCATCAGTAGAAGTTCCATAAAACTATCCACAATACTATCACAATTCCAGAGCACTGCACAACATGATCAAACGAGGACTCTAATCTAGGAAAAGAATGCATACAAACGAGACTGGGACAAACATCAGTGATAGTTACAGTAATATTGATGAAAAGCTTTTGCACCCTTTTGTACAGAAAATTATCACTGCTTTGATCATTAATTTACAGATTAGGGAATTCAACCTGTGTTATGGGGCAGGTTCACTGGTTTCTAAAACGTAACCCAATTGAAAAATAATAATACAAGAAAGATTTGCGGATATAGTACTAAAGCAGGCGTAAGAGCACAATAGCGTAAAAAGTGCACTCTTCACAGCAGCTTGAACTATAAACCTTTTTATTGTGCCATCAACTGGTTCCCAATGGTTACTGGGAGCAACGTTACTTAAGTGCGTGGCATTAAAATATACACAATGGGACCTGTAAGATGCATAGTCCCACCCGAGAATTCAACACCACATTTAATCCTTGATTGACACAGCATATTTCAGAAGATAAAAATGTGACTTGACTTGGACTGGGAACAAAGCTTAGGTTGGCTCCATCAAAGGACTTATGTGTGGAACACATTGGAGGAAAAATAATACAACACTCACCAGTCATGGTATACTCCAATAAGACCTCTGTCAAAGATTACGGAAAGAGTTGAGGGCTTGCGGGCAGGAACAACATTCATCACCCACACAGCGTCAGATTTTAGTGCAGCTGCAAAACCTCCAAAAAATGCATTCATGTCCATGACATTGCGTACAGCTGGAGTTCCAAGCTTCAGGTTTAGGGAGTTCTTATAGTAAGCAACTCTTCTCGCCCAACGTCGCGTGTCAGCCTCAAACACATCGATGCCATTTCTCATGAGTGTGGCCCTTGCAGGAGCTTTTGTCAGCCTCTCTGGCCACTTTGGAATCATCCCAACAGCATATTCTCCCTTGACAGAAGATGTCCTACTCATACATTTCTTTAAATTGTAATACCTGCATAACAATTGAGTTTATTGGTACCAATTCCATAAATTCTTTGAATATGACGTTTGATAATAAAATTTTGTGTCCAACATGCTGCAATGGTTAGACGGCAAGAGTTTGTACTTTAATTTTTTCCAGACTTATAAAAGGACATAACTATGGAAAACAATCACTTCATACCAACATAAAGGTTCCATTTGGGGGAAGAAACTAAGAAACTAAGAATGGATTCTGAGGCGGTTACCATGCATCACTTGGGTCATCTGATTCACCACACAATTCAAGGCCAAATTCATTTTGGTTAGGAAGGCATGAATCTCCAGCAGGCTTTTTCCAGACAGCTGTGTTTCCATCCACAGCAATCAGCTCATAACACAATGCTCTTGCGACACCCTGGAGATCCGCCCATTCCTTGTCTTGATTAGTCCACTGCACAGGAGGACCGGAGATTACTAGGTATCCTCCTGGGCGAAGTAAACGATCCACTTCAAGGAAATATGTGGCATCTGCAAAATTCCAGATTCCTTTATGATAAGAGCAAGTAGCAGGGGCAGAAAAACTGTAACAATATGCGAGGTTACAGGTGACAAGAACTCACTATAGGCAGTAAAAGGGATCAAACATCGAGAGCAGTGCACCAAATCAAATGAGAAAGCAGGAAATGGAAGCCTGCGAGTGCCAAGCATAGCAACAAATGCTGGAATTCCTCTTTCCAATGCAAATTGTATCTGTGACTTGTGGGAATCTCTTGGAGCAAATGACATTGCCAAAATGTCTTTGGACAGAAGATACCCCCCAAAACTGGCAACCTGTATAGCATCAAAAATTTGTGAAATTCGAAAAGAAAACTAGAACGGTCTCAAGAAAAAGAAACATTGCTCTTACCCCACAACCCATATCGAGAGCAGTTCGCAGGACGCCATCACTGATAGGGATGTACTGTCCAAGTTTTTCAATATATTGTATAGCTCCATCTGGAAACATGGTACCACCACCAGGGAAAATGAAGTGTGGGCCTTCCAGTTTCATCCACCCCTGATGACCTTTCCTGTCTGCGATTTTGTTGTGTGGCATGTTGCTGTGCCATATCTATACACAGATTACAGTACTTTAAGACACGACACGTAAAAAAAGAACCATGGGGTGGTGCTTTATGACTTTGATATAGAACATCAAATGAAACTCATTCTATCTCTGATTACAAAACACTGGGCAAATATTCCAAAACAAGAAGAGGACTAGAAAGACAATCAAATTTTGAGCCATCAGTAATTATAAAAGAAAAGGCCCCGCATAAGCAGTCAAGATTTCACTTATTTAGTTAGCTGTTTACAGTTACTTCTGGCCCATCAAATCCTATACGGATCTTAAATTCAAAATTCAAGAACATAAAACCAAAAATGAGTAACACAAGGCTGTCAAAGGTTCTTGAGCAGCTGTGGTAGCCAGTGAGAGAATGAAGAGTGTGCTAGCAGGAGAAAAGTACAGCACTAACATTTATGAACAAGCTACTACAATCTCTTTTTCTTTTTGGCCTCAACAAGTAGCTAAAAGTAGCATGTCGAGATTGTATATTTCTAACACATTACAAAGTTCCTTAACTACAATGCACAGATCCTCCTATTCAATAATTCTATTTGTACTACACAACTTTATATTTTGAGGCTTGCATTCTTGTTCCCAGTATAACAGTCGTGCACAGAAAAATTTAACAAACAAGCTCGATTGAAAACATCAAAAGCTTAAACTTGCTATACCACCAACACCATTAATCTCGGATATACCACCTCTCATTCATAGATCCTCAAACATTCACCGAAAAGCTCAATCATAAAAGAGCCTCAAATGCGAATTCAACGACAAAATATGCAATTAACCCAAAAAAGCAAATTGAAGAATTGAAATGAACCCAAAACCACACACACCTTGTGCAAGCTGTCGGGCCACTGAACCGGAATCTTGTAGCCATTGGGAGGTGGGATCAAGCAGAGAGGGGTCTCCTCAGGCAGAGGGCAATGCCTCTCTCTGTAAAAGTTCATCTCTCGACTTAATTGGCTGTTGCGCCTGGGGTCCTCGCACGGCATGTGGTCGACGGCATCGACCGGGCATGCCTCAATGGGCTGCTGGTGCTGCCCGAGCTCCACCAACGCCACTAAACGGTGTCGTTGCTTCGGATCGGCATTGGTCGATAAGAGAAGAGCCTGGCGACCCGAGGCAGCGAGCGAGTCACCCAAGCGAGTGAAGACTAGGAGGAAGAAGACAATCACTATGCCGAAGAAGGCCGCTGAGACAAGGTCCAAGAGGCGCCAATGCCTCGGGCTCCGCTTCGATGCGGGCAGGTTCAGGTGACCCATTTGGGCTCGGATCAAGTGGGAGTCGGATCCGATCAAATCGGCATTCGGGTCGGGAGAAATGGATGGACTTGCTTCTGGGTTTTGAAAAAGACGGGATTTTGAGTTGTTTTGGGCAGATATTAGATTGGTGGGTTGTTAGGGTTTACGTGTTTGGAGGTGTGAGAGAGAGAGAGAGAGAGAGAGAGAGCGGTGGAGGAGTGTGGGACTGTAGATGATGAAGATAGAGAGCTCTTCTTCTCTGTTGCTTACTGGTGGCTCTCCATTTTAATTTAATTTTTTAAAACCAATAAATCTAATATATTATAGAGATGAGAAATTATTCCTTTGATAGATTTCCTTTCTCCTTTTTTTATTGTTGAATAAAAATGAGGGGGCTACAATTACAGATGTGGTGAGGAAAATTTGGGTGAAATCCCCGAGGGTTGAAGCCTTGATAGCCTTGAACTTGAACTTGAGGCAAGTAGCTAGTAGCATGTGATGGACAGCTGTGAGGAAGGTGATGGGAAAATTTCAGGAGGTCACAAAAATTATAATATCCAGGAGTTGTCTGCTTCCCAATATTGAATAGAAAAGGAAAGTTTTTGAGACTAATTATTAAAACCGTATATATAATTTGAGGGGAACAAGATGGGGAATTAAAATTTTCAGGCCAAAAAAGAAAAGAAAGGGATGGGTATTAATTTCAGCCAGCATGTGCCTTTTTTTTAATAACAAGTAGACTAGCAAGTCAAGTAGCAGGTCAGCCTAAGTTGAACTCTGTAATCCTTAATCTCTTTCACAAGAAGAAAATAATTTATTATTAATGGCATCCAAGACAGGGTTTTTATTTTTGTTGCTTACAATTATGAGATGATGTTGACCAATAATCTGTAGTAATTAGTAATTAAAACTTAGATTAAATTCTAATCACTAAATTATGTAAAAATAAATAAGGTAATAAGACATTGATGTTCTTTATTCCAAAAAAAAATTGGAAGTGTAGTTAAAAAATGCGTAGGGGGTTATTTTCCCATGTTAAAAAGACACAAACTTTGAAAATGTTAGGGAGATCTCCATTCTGGACCTGCCTAACATTTTCTTTGAAACGTTTTGAAAATGTTAGACAATTGTTATGGCCAACCTGCTCACAATGTCAAACTTGGGCAAACTTTTGAGTGTTGAAATTTGAGATTCAGACACTTGAAGGCGCATCTCAATTTCAATTTCGATTTTTATTTGAGTATTTGACTTTGGCATTTGACATGGTCATTCAGAGGGGATCATATGTATTAAACAACCAAACGGAGAGAAGAAACCCAGAAACTGAAGAAATAGCTGCAAGCAACGGATAAGAGAATATAATCTGAATAAATGCTGCAACTGAATCAAGATGAAAACTAAAAATCTGTGAATATACAAGACAGCAACCATCTAACATTGGTAATTGTTGCATAAATTTGCATCCTGGTCTTCTAGATTTGTCAAATCCTCCGCCGTGCTAGTTGACCAAGCAGATGAATGTCAAAAATGAAAGAGCACAAGCAAACGCTGGCCAGACTAACACTGTCTAAAAATAAATTCAGGATTTCCTTGATCCCTTAAGATTGTATTCGTGCTTGATAAGATTCACCCTAAGCAGCATTGACTTAACATCCCGATCAAACTCATCGCCCGTCTGAAGCACCCGTTGGAAAGTTGCATTCCTTTGATCCGCATGTCGTGCATATAGAATTTTGTTGTGTGAGTCAATTCGAGCCTGCAGTGGCATCATGAGTTAGGTCAATAAAGAACAAAAATGTACACATGCAAAACAACTGAATCTGAAGTTTCACATCATCCCCCCACCCCAAACCCTACCACAAAAATTGATTCAGCATTGGGATTCAAGAACAGAATAAACCAATATATAGCATATATGGGGTCCATTCAACAAACGACCGTGGAGTGAGTTATCTAGTTCAATACAAACGCAGATGGCATTGCAAAGCCCACCTGAACTTGGTTGTCAGTGATTAAAGCTTCAAGTTCTTTCTCTAGCCCTGAAACATCAGTTTTGAAAGCACTGGCCATCATGTGTAAATCTACAGACACAAAGGGGTGTGTATACTGGATGAGAGCCTTGTGGCGGATTTGACCATAGAGTGTCTCGAGGTGGTCATGCAAATGGATGTCAAGCAACAGATTTGCTTTGAGATTCCCAAGGTAATCCAGACATGAAGCATAATGGCTACAACAGAATAGAAAACACATGTTACTGAAACCGAAATATCTGAACATAAATCAGACAACAGACCATCACCACTGTCAATTGATTAAAACAATTGCACAAGCATGCCAACTAATCCTTCAATTTATCATCCTCAATCCCAATAACGAATTGAAAAATGTTAACTCATTGGAAATGAGTTAACAAGGTCTAATATCATTTCAACTTAATACATATAAAGCTGAAATTCCCTTGTAATTTCTTTCATTACCTACAGGATGCATTATGCCAAGAATAAGCAAGGTCTAATGTAACTTGATAATAATGTTTGAAAAGAAAAACTCGTGTTAAGATCCTTGCATGATTGAGACCTATAAATTTTCACGCTATTTCTTAATAGGACTTGACACTTTTCTACCATATGGCTTTGTACACATTGCAGCAACATTGCCAATATTGACACATAGATACAGCAATTAGACAACTAAAAAGATTACATCACAATAGATTACCTTGAGTAGAAGTCATTGATAAGCTCCCTTACTTCAGGTACTAACTCTAAAAAATTCCGGAAGTTCAGGTTGTCTATAACTTTGTTCTGTCAAATAAAATCGCTTACTGAGAAAGAGTACTCTACTTCTAAACAAGAAATCATTAAAAAACAAAGGAAAAGATAGTCCAAGGAAAGAAAGAATATATGCCTTCAGTTCCATTCGGTCAAAACTTGCAAGTGCACAAAGCCCACCATATGTTGCAACATCTTGAGGTGCAATCACTTCATTGTAATGGTTCCCAATTCATGCCCGGTTTCCAAGAACTGTAATTTCACAGTGAATAAGATAGATTAAAACCACAGAAGTCTTACAAGAACAATAGATAATGGAACTGATCTTACTAAATAATGGGCCACAAGGGCAAAATTTAGGGAACCAGGACCATCTTAAAACTTAGATACCAGGCAACACTAAATCAGCTATAATTAATTCCCAACTGGTTCTTTTGATTTTGAAGGCATAAATTTAATATCTGAAAATCTCCAAAAACTCTGCCCAACAAGAGCAGAGAGATTACAACTGAAAATAAGTTAACAAAATCAGCTCATCACTAAATGTTTGTAAAGGCTTTAAAAATGTAAATAATATCACCATACCAAGCACAATATGACTAACCAATAGAAAAAAGCAGATATCATAAACTCACAACTTCTTATCTTAAAGCACAAAGATACAAGTATTCATATGTATAAAAAAAAACGACCATAAGATTAAATTAAACAATAATATAACTTCAAACAAACCTTACGAGCAGCAAGCTTGTATTTTTTAGCTTCCAAGTGAGCCAATCCAGCAGCACAACGAAGTTTTGCAACAGTAACTGGGTCAAGGGCTTCTGGTGATTGTTCTGCTTTGCTAACATAGCTTGAGACATGAGCAAATTGACTCATCTCAATGCTGACCAGAATTGAACTCATGCACATATGAACAATATGCTTTGCTGTAGTGCAATAATCACGAGTACGAACATAATTTTAAAGGCATCCCCAAGTTGACCATGAGCATAATAAAAATCTCCAAAATCATTGTAACCCATTCTTATGCTTTCTTTGATAAGATTTGTCTGCACAAAAGCATTCAAAGACAGAATGAGAGATCAAAGAAAGAGACAATGGGAACCAAAGAGGCTTCAATCACAGAAATTGCACGTATTCCATGATTTAGGAACAAACCAGCAACAAAAACACACATAACAACTCCTCAGACAGAAAGCTCCCAAGTGCATTTTCCCGCAATTAAAAATATAAAATAAGCATCGAGACTCTACAATCCAGCAGAACAGCTTGATGTTGCATATTAGAACTCATTAAATCCTGATAAAATTTATCCAAAAAAGAAGTTCTAACAGGATCATCAGATGGGAAACATACAACATATAAACCTAACCGAGTCTGTAACACTGATTCATGCCTTAAAACAAGGATAATGTTGCATTTGAAAACCTCAATTTTGGGCCTGAAGCTGATTATTAGCTGACAGCTTGACTCGGTTGACAAGACCAGTGGTCCATTTCAATTTAACAAACATCAAAACTCCATATCTATGATCCATAACTTCGCACAAAACTTTAGGTTCACAGTCTCCTTTTCTCAATACCCACAAATTTTCAGTCATAACATCTTCCTGCTATTCCACCAAAACAACTGCAATCAAGCTAACCTCGAGCAGTGAACAAGTTGTTTGTTTAGTACCCAACATTGCCTAAGAGACAAACCAACGACTCTCCCGTATCCTGATTAGAACAGCTCATCTACAACCACATTCCTAGACATAACCTAAACAGAAAACAAAATATTATGACAAGACGAAGAAAACACAAAGGCATTGCCATTAACTCCTCTCATATTGACATCTATTTCCTACACACAGGAGAATTATAGTATACAATAACAGGTAAACGATTAAACAATAACTTGTAATAAATCCAACAAAACCCAAATACACAGTGTAGAACCACCCATAGGCAACCTATACACTATTTAATCATAAAAACCCTAGACATTCCAGAGATAACCACAAAGAAAACAGAGTAACAGAACCGCATACCCTATAGGCATTGAGCTCGTTCTCGAGCTTCTCCTTCTTCTGGTCGGCCCTCCTATCCACCATCTCACACCAAGCCAAGTCCATCGCATAGTCGGGTCCCAATCTCCCACCGATCATCTGCACGACGTCTCTGAACAACTGGGTGTTTTCTCCCTTCTTGATTTCGTCGTAGGCCATGCGCAGAGCCTCCAACTCCATGGCCTGGTTGCTCTTGCTCTTGTTGGCGATGAAAATCAGCCGCATGATCTTGGTGCGGCCGCTGTAGAGGCTCGCGTAGGCCTCGACGTCGAGTTGCTCACTGCTGATGATTGGTCTGCTGCGCTTCTCGTCGTCACCGCCAACGCCGTTGGCGTAGATCTCGTCGTCATCATTGGGCCTGAGGTCTCGTCGTCGCCTTCCATTTTGGGAAAGTGTGAAGCCCTAGAGCAGAAGTTTGGGAGATTTTAGGTTTTAGGGTATTGCTGTGGACCTTCTTCAGGTGGTGCTGAACTGCTTCTTTTCTTCTCTCTCGCTCTCTCTCTCTCTCTCTCTCTCTCACTAGGCGCAGCGAGGGAGGGAGATGGGTTCTTGGGCGAACAGAACGACGCCGTGTAACGACAGACTATCTGACTATCATTTATATTTTTATATTTTTATATATATTTATATTTTTATATTTTTATAGGCTTTAGATCCTGGACTCTCGGATTTGGGCAAATTATTATGGGCTTTTAGCCTTTCGAAGCTCAGTTTTTGTAGGCCCCGTTTGATTCACGGAATGAATTTGAAGGAAAATCAATTCCCATGTCATTTCCTAAGGAATGAGAATGAAATATTCATTTCTTACGTTTGGTAATGTCGGGAAAGTAACCGGGAAATTTCACTTTGTTTCCTTTCCCATGTTTGTTTTGAGTAGGAATGGAAAATAAATTTTGTATAATTTTCCAATTATACCCATATTAAATCAAATAAAAAAAGAATGTATTTAATGATACATTGTAATTTTAAATTGTTCATGAGGACAAAATAGTTATGAAAATTGTGCATTGAATGTTGGCTCATTTTCCCAAACTTTCCCATGATGAGGGAAAACAAAACCCAAGTTGAGATGAGGGTTTCACTTTCCCCCTACTTTCCCATGTGCCAGACAACCATTTATCATGTTTGGACTTACCAAACATGGGAAAGCAATTGAATTCCCATTCCCAAGTCTCTTTTCCCATGAATCAAACGGGGCCTTAAAGTATCTCCAAAGGAGATGTCAAATACCAAACATCAAATTTAAATTTGATGGTTGATGTGGCAATTTGACATCTTAGAGCATCTCCAAGGGAGATGTCAAATACCAAACATCAAATTTAAATTTGATGGCTAATGTGGCTATTTGACATCTTACACAGCTTTACACTCCACCCAATATGTCAAATTAAATTATTATTTTATTACATTTTAGTGTTGATTTATTTTAAATTAAAAAGAAAAGAAAATAAAAAATAATAAAATATTCATTTGACATCTTACTTTTGGGATGTCAAAAATAACATCTCAACCTCCAGCCTTTATTCCACATCAGCTTTAATACATCGGTTGGAGTGATGTGAGATGTTATTTCTAGCTGTTAAAGGTATATGTGGCACTTTTGACACATCGGTTGGAGATGCTCTTACACAGCTTTACACTCCACCCGATATGTCAAATTAAATTATTATTTTATTACATTTTAGTGTTGATTCATTTTTAATTAAAAAGAGAAGAAAAGAAAAAATAATAAAATATTCATTTGACATCTTGCTTTTGGGATGTGAAAAATAACATATCAACCTCCAGCTTTCATTCCACATTAGCTTTGACATATCGGTTGGAGTGATGTGAGATGTTATTTTTAGCTGTTAAATGTCTATGTAGCACGTTTGACACATCGGTTGGAGATGCTCTTATATGCAAAGAAAATTTAGATGCACCCTAAAATCTAATCAATACACCCATCAATTTTACTTTTATGGTTTAGGGCTGAAAAATTAAATTCAAAATCAAAATAAATTAACCATCTTAGTGTATGTTTTACAACTAATTATGGAAAATAGAAAATAAAGAATGTGATTTTGGTGAACAATTGTGTTGGTGGATTCAATTTTAAATAGAAAATAAAATTTTAAATTGAAACTAACTTGAAACCTCTTCAATTAAAATTCTTATTCTTATTTTCTCGTCAAACAAATTCTACATGATTCGCGCGTGACCCTTTTAACATATATTTCGGTGTTCAAAATAGAAAACCTCATTTCAAAAATCAACTAAAGACAAGCTAAGCCCATGTTAAGAAGATGGCCTATCTTGCAGCACTAGACCATGTTAAGAAGATGACACCGTAGAAGAGGGCCCATAAAACACATCCTACCCATAGAAATGACCATATTATTATTAGTTTTTAATATTATACTGGTAACAATTAATAAATGAGCAATATAAGAAGATAGGCTCACAAGAGGCTCTCGCAACCAATAAACACAACTATTGCAAGACAATGAGTAAAAATAATTTCACATCTTCAAGACCCATTTCATCAGGAATTTAAAGACATAAGAAGATCCATAACGCCACTGCATCCAGTTCTCCAAGAAAGTCATATGAGATATGAGAACTCTCTATCTGTTTAGGAGTTGGGGATAGGAAACACCTACAAGTGAAAAAGCAAATATCGCTCAGCTTCCACCTGGACAGATGGTCACAACGTCTCCCACACACCCCTAAAACCAAAGCACCAATCAAAATAGATCCACAAAATCAACAATTGCATCCCTCAACATAGAGATCTGGTGAAAATCCACCTCATCAACTCCAAAATTGCAAGGACAACACAGTACATGCCAAAAAAAAAATTAGGTGAACAACTAAGGGAGACAAACCTTGCAATACACAAGGGAGACAAAAGCCTAACACAAAATTGGCTAAGAAAAAAAGCCCTCCACAAGTATGGGTTCGATAACTCGTGTATGCGGCTAGGTTTTTTCTTTGGAGAGGAAGGGTATTTTATGGCTGTATCACAAATGTTTTATCGAGAAACAACCACAATTAAACTATCACTCGACCTCATTTTTCCTGAAATCCTATAAGAACTTAATCATTTTCATATAAGAATAGAACCTAATTGTGAGGGACTTGTAACTCAAGTGGTTAAGAGCATTTATTCATGCATATGAGGTCTTAGGTTCGATTCCTCCCTTCACCATTACTGCTTGTATAAAAATTAAAAAGAACTTGTAATTTCATCTTTTTAAAAGATAGAAAAAACTATATATGTATATATATTTCGGCCCCCCATCTCAAGCCATTACTAGATTTAAAGAATTTTCGTTATAATGCCTTTTTGGCTTGATATCTCAATTTTTTTTCCAAATTATATTGCAGACTTAATTAGGTTAGTTGAAAATATGCTCTCCTCCTTGTATTCAAGTTCGATCTCCCTCTATGTGTCAAAATCACAAAAACATATGTGGCTAATAATTTGCACTCCTGTTCATTGAATAAATTAAAATAGGTTAGTGATTTTTCCACTCTATTTTTGTCCTCTTAAACTCAATGGCGGATCCATGATCCTCGAGTCATAGGGTCACAATGTAAAAGTGTCGAAACTTTTGTAGTCTAAATTGTTGAGGCATTTTTTTAAGACAAAGAGTCATTTCCTATCCAATTATTCAATAAAAATGGATAAATAATAATGATAATAATAAAATAGACGCACACACTAATACTCTACCATCAACCCTAACCTACCCTAGAGACCCTCTGTCTAATACTCGGAAGAAGAAGGGTTTTTTGGGAAACCCCCATTGTAGATAAATTCATCACTAAAATTATAAGTTTTGTTAATGTTCACTGCCTAGGACATGTTCAATTTTTGAAATTTTAGCTTTCAGCCGATTCTTTTTTGGTTGGACTTCAATAGGGCAAATAAACATATAATAATAAAACCCAACAACAAATACATAATTTAAATAAAATGAAAGAGAGCATATCTTCTTGTTTGTCCTACCCTGCGTCAACTACATCTACATTTTCAAGTGAAGTAGAACTTCGTTTTGATGCCAGGTCATTAAAAAAAAATTTGAAACGGCCTAGACCAAAATAACTTTGTTTTGGCCAGACAATTTTATAAAATAAAAAAATACCCACTGCGCACAGGCTTTGTTATGGCCTTTTGTCGAGCACCTTGCGTGCATTTTGGGGTCGTTATGCTGCTCTTCATGAGGTCTGCTTAGACCTCCACAGGCTGTCCACAACCATAATTCCGACCACTTTATGGGGCCTTTCGACCCATTTTGTTCCTTAATGCGTACTTATACTTCTTTTTAAAAAAAAAAAAAAAAAAATAATATATAATAGAGTGTAAGTGAATAATAAATGGGCAAGAACATACAATTTTCAACAAAAAACTGTAATTAAATAAAATTAGAGTGAGAAAATCAGCTCGATTAACTTCTAATAACTCTTATACAAAATGTCCCATATTTTTCTTTGCTTTGGGTCGGGAACATATACAAACGGTCTCAGAAAAGGATAAGAATTCAACATGAAGCGACTCTGGTCTCAATAATTTCGGCGCACGCTACGTGATGAGGTAATCATTGCAATTGCTTTAGACACGTGTCCTGTGGAGAAAAAAAGGCGCGCAAAAGCTGTTGCTGTGTTCCCTTTGATTCTCGTTCTGCATCGACCCTCCTCACTCTTCACTAATCTTTTTCACCCACTCAAGACAATAGCATTGGATTCCGCACCGCAACTCTCTCTCTCTCTCTCTCTCTCTGCAATTTTTCGCTGAAAGCAAAACGGCAATGGCGAGCCCCACGCAGGACATGATCGACACGTACATGAGCATCACCGGCGCCTCTCACTCACTCGCGCTGCGAAAGCTTGAAGTTCGATTCTCTCTCTCTCGCTCTTAATTTCTTAAAATTTTCAGTAATTAAGCATACATTCCCGCCGTGTTTCGTTCTCTGAATCTTTGTAGATTATCGTTATTATCTTGTAGTTTTATTTTTCTCAAAATGAGCTAAACGGTGTCGCTGTGCTGCCTAGGGTTTCCTGTTCCATTTTCTTATGGCAAGATTGTGCAATTTCATGAGTTCTTGGTAAAATGTAGCTATCATGCTTCAGTTCTACGCAAAATTGAGGGTCATATGCTTAAAGAAGATCATTCGTAATTTTCTGAAAGGAAAGAACATCAACTTTTCTTTTCTTTCATGTAGAAGTTATACATTTATTTACGGATAAGATTCAGTTGTTTGTGCGAATTTAATAGGCCGAATGGAACGTAATTTCCTCATTTTGTTTTTTAAGTAGCTTGAATGGGAATGTAGAAGTATTACAAAGAGTAAAGACTCTGTGGATAGGTCTTAACTGAATTGGCTCTGCCTTTGCAGTATTTGATGAGCTCATTAAGGCATATATAGTGCGCTAAGATTTTGTATTATTATTGTATTAAAATCCATTCATCGACACTATATATAGGTGGCATATCTTGATATTTATCATTCACACAGTACCATGGGCCTTGTACGCCATTGGTATCATTAAGGCTTACCATGCGTCCTTGGTTGGTTGTGAGCTTGGGAGCCGAGCCTCTAAGGTGGCTAGTTGATCAGGATTTCTCGAATGATAATTATCTACAGTCACCATACTATCCTGTTGAAAACTGAATTTTAAATGTTTTGCATCGTGTAGCTGAGTTGTATTTTCTCTATGTGTCGTTCTGTCTTGGCTATCTTTTCTGAGTTGTCTGGTATTTCTTGGCTGATAAACAGGAATATGGAGGCAATCTCAATGAAGCCGTGAATGCACATTTTAGTGGTGGAGATAGAGACTTGTATCGCATCTTGACTTCATCTCACTCATTATCTTCTTGCTCACCTTAGCAGTAAATTTACTTAACATTCCATTCTAGTGTCTCATCTCTCTTTGACGCTTGTTTTACTTTTGGTCTTTCTGGTTCAGTACAAATCCGGGGTCTGCTGCTACCCCACAATACAATTTCACTCATATGACTGGTCAGAATCAAGTTGCACCTCATGCTGTCCCCCCATACAATTTCCCTCATATGAGTTCGCAGAATCAAGTTGCACCACAAGGAGTTGTACCACTTCTCTCTGCTGCTAGGAGTTTCAGGCCATCATTACTATTTGATCCTAGTTACAGTAGGGATCTCCTTAACCGGATCGGTTCTGCATTTACTGGTCGTGCACCAGTAAGTTCACATCCAGGAGTTGTGGGGGGGTTTCCTGTAGATTTAAACAGAGGGAATGATTATCCTCATCTCTCGGGACAGAGGCCTACTATTCAGGACATGACAGGAAATCCACATGGCAATGATGTGGAGGAAGAAATGATTCGAGCTGCTATTGAGGCTTCAAAACGAGAGGCTGAAGTGGCTTATCTGAATACGCAAACCAGGGCTCTCAATGTGTGCTGCTGCTAATTTAACTGTTTTGACCAATATCTTGTGGTTCCTGAAGTTATGACTCTTGTGAGATTTTTCCATGCAGGTTTCTCCTGTTAATGGACTTCCAGGAAATCAAACTCACCAAGATGATGATGATGATTTCGATCGTGCACTTTCATTGTCCCTGAAGGTTCCTAGCCTTGAATTACTTTTTCCTTTTTGTTGGGAGTTGGGGGCGGGGGGTGCTTCCTTATCTTTGAGGTTCTTGATTTATTTTAAAATGAATTGAGTTCAGACAGCAGAACAAGAGAAAGCGATACGTGAGGAGAAAGGGAAAGACAGGAATCCTGAACTGGCATGGAAGGTATGACTTCTATTCATGGTATAGTTAGTTAGTTACATGTGCATGAGTGTCTGCATGAACTGACAAAATTTACAGTGAAGAATAAAAAGAGAGTTTTAATAAGAACTGTATAGGAATTCCCGATGAAACAATTTCTCTACAGGTTGTGGGAACGGAAACTGTTGGGCTTTATGCTGCACATGCAGGGAACAAATGTTCTCTATCTATTGGCTGAAACCGTTCCAGATAATTTTTAGGCCTTTTTTGATTGAGCAGGCCAGACAGAAGTTCTGATTACTATAAATACAAAGTCAAAACTGAGAAATTAGACAATTAAAAATCTCATTATCTTTCCATTGAAAAGGAAAAGATTTTGTTTGTTCTAAAAAATATCTTTCTAAATTATAGCGAGGAAGGTCATTGCACCAAAATGGAGCTGAATTTGTAGAACAGAAACAAGTGAGTCAAGAGTTGAAGCGTGATGCTGGTAAAAATCTTCAGCTGGGTAGCCTGGACATTCATTGTGAAGAGGTATCAACTTCTTCTTTTAAAATTTTTAATTTAGCCCATTAAAAGAAAATTGACTGCTATATTATTAATCAAATTGTGCACATATCCTCGTAGTTAGGCAGCATTTCTTCCAAAGAGCTCGACGAAGCAATAATGCTTGAGACTGCACTTTTTGGCAAATCTTCATATGCAACTAATTTGCCAAGTCGTCCAAATATAAATTTGGGTCCTAATATGCAGCCTGTACATGGCCCCTCATCATCTGCTCCAACAACAAGACAATTGCTAAGACAACAACAGGTTTTAACATCCTGCTCCCAATAACTATCGTGGGAGTGTTGTCCAGCACTTGATTACTAGAAATATTACTTGCAGGATGATGAGTATCTTGCATCCATCTTGGCTGATAAAGAAAAGGAAATGCATGGTGTCAATGATCCTGGAACTTGTCACTTAAAGGGAGTCAAATCTGACAACAAAAAGATCGATACATTGGTAAGTGTATCTAGTAGGTTTTTTTGAATTCTTTTTATCCTATCGTTTTCTTAGTAATAATCCATTTACAATTGATTTTCAATTACCTTCCCGCATATTACTTGAAATTGTGACGTTTTCCTCAAATTTGATGCATTGACTGTGATACAAGGAAATTCTTAATTATGTAAATTATTCTTGATCTTGTACATGGTTGAAGAAGTTTTTGGGTTTAACTTTATAAAAGTGATAAAAGATCATGTTTTTTTTAGTGCTTAAGCTCCATGTAGTCAGTACTCATGGTGGAATCCTTGCTAAGCGGAACCAGCGATTTCGAATAAGCAAAATGTATTATAAAAGACCCCAGGCCATTTGGACTTCGCCGTAGAGTACCTTACTGCATATGATAACTCAAAGTTATAGTGCTGTCTGTATCTGCAGATACAAAGCTGTAACTTTTCGTGCATAGGCTTTGATTACCTTGAGTACTCGTATTCCTTTGTTTAACCAAGCAGTGGATCTGTAGTGGGGGTTTGCATGGCTACTGGAATATGTCTGTTAATGTGCGAAGGAATAGAAATAGAGTCCAATAACTTCCATGACTGGTTTGACATCCTCAATTTACACAGCATGCCCCTTTCCCTTGGTTGTTTGGTTTATGGTGGAATGAATCACCATGTCTATATTTCAATGGCTAGTTGTTTTAAATCTTTTCCCTTCAATCTACTGTCTCACTGATGACAGGAAGGTGAGCGAATGCTAGCTGCAAAAAGTGCTTCACTTCCTTGCGAACCAGCATCAGATGATGAGAATGCTGTGACTCTTCTGGTTAAGGTGCCAAATGGCAGCCGCCTTAGCCGCCGCTTTCACAAATTTAACAAGCTTCAGGTAAAATTTCAAAATGTTACAGAAATTTAATAGAATTTCTCTTTGTCCCAACTGACCAAACTTTTTGTTCCTTTTAAGATTCTTTTTGACTTCATAGATGTTGGTGGAGTGGTGAAGCCTGGAACTTACAGAGTGGTAATTACTCTTCTCTGTACTTTTTATTTCCTTATTATTATTATTTTTTTTAAACTTTGAGAAGATTGCAGTCGGTAGTACTACTCCAGGAACGAGATAGTTTTTGTATGTCCTGATTATGTTGCTTGATTTCTATGAACAGGTGAGGTCATATCCTCGGCGTGCGTTTACTCTTGATGACAGCTTATTAACATTGAGCGAAGTTGGACTGACGAATAAACAAGAAGCCTTGTTTCTGGAATTGATTTAGATTATAGAGCTCTCTTCCTTGTAAGTTTCGTGTCTGATCATACAACTTGACACAAGATGAAAAGGTTGATAGTGTAAGTCTAGTCTACAGTTGATTCTTTTTTGCTAGGGAACTAAGGTACATGACCTGGGCTTGGAACCTAGCTCATGCCTTTGGAAGGTAGTGGATGTTAAATCTGGCTGATCCTAACGTTGCTGGAAACCAATTCTCATGGGAGGTTAAAATTTCAAAATCCCTGCTGTATGACGACAAACCTCGCAAACAAAACGAAACTAACATGTTTTTATCAGGATAGCTGCCCTTTGTATATACTCTAAGTTCTGCTTTTCGCACGTCTTACAGGATTAAACTCGCATAAAACGAGTTATACAACCTGTTCTATTAAAGTCAAGTAGATGAGCAGTTCTATATGTCATTGTTCATCTTGTGGTGTGTTTTGCTGGTGAACTTCGTTTCTGGTACATGAATGAGAACATGTTTTGTGGCATTTGACTTTGGGAGCTGTCTCTTCTCTTTTGTTATAGTTTCCTTTGGCTCTTTGGCTACATTTTTCTTTTTTAATGCAATGTCAATAGATAAGCATGTTCTTGGTTGTAAAATATTGCATTAAAATTTCTTTTTCATTGTTGTGTAGAAATTAATCAAGTGTCACACCACAATTCACGGGTGCTGGCCAAAACAAACAAAAAAATCATTTTCATTATCAAATTATCGACATAAAAATTGAACAATTTGAATCAAGAAAGAAGAGAAGCCCTATGTCTATGAATCTGTTTGGCTTTCTCCTTGATCTTGGCTAGGAGCTGGTGCTGTCCAATACTGCTTGGCCGCCAATAATATCTTTTCTCTATGTCTGGGACCATTTTCATGGTCAACGATTGTGGCATCATATTGCATTGCATCCATGATGCTCTTGACTTTCACCAACACATCCACATCATCCCGGAAAATTATACTACCTTCTGGCCTTAAAATCCTATCCATTTCTAAAAGAATATCTTCAACTTCGCATCTGCAACACAAATAAATTATGTGCAAGTTAGTACATTATCTCCCGTCATTATAATAATTTGACTCATGCTATTATCAGTCGCGCGTTGAGGGCCATTCGTGGGACTCATACTAATGAATAACTTGAGAGCCTTCACATACCCACACGCGACTGATGATAGCATTTATCAATATTATATCCAGCTAAGTCAATGTTCAAGATTGCAAGGGTGATGAATAGTCACCTGTCCTTGTAGAGACTAAAAACTGAATCAGAGTGGATGAAGTCATAGGTTCTTGGGTAAGTAGACATGGCCTCACACCTGCAATGAAACAAGTCATTAGCAACACTAACAGAGTAATTAATATAATGAAATGTTATTTCATATCGTATAAGCTGGTTCCACTTCAATTTGTTATGTGGTTTACTATGTGATTTGTAAACATGGTACAAATAGTTTTATTGTTACGGTATTTTAGGGAGGCATAAAAAAGCATACCAATTCTGATAAGTTCCAATCAATCCTCGTTCGTAAATGACTCCAAGGGTGTTAACCTCAGCCTCAACAGGGACAATGTTCATAACCCACACAGGGTCCTGAACTAGGGCAGCTGCAAAGCCTCCCAAATAAGCGTTCATGTCAAGCAAATTCCGGTACCTCCCGGGCTCTGCCAACTGATAATCCAAGGTCTTGTAGTATGCCACTCTTTTCTTCCACAGCTCTGTATTGTCTCTGAACATCTCAGCTGTAATTCCTGTCACACTCCCACTACTGATTCTTGGAGGGACTGAAGTTAGCCTCTCTGGCCATTTTGCCAATTCCCCTCCTGCAATTTCTTTAATGTTGTTCACTCCAGGCAGTGGGGTCAAACAATCCTCCATTGTAGTATACCTAACCAAAAAAAAACAACAGCGTTGAGTAAAACTTAAATAATAAATAAAATAAAAGCTCATTTGAGGCCAATCAAGTCGCTCTTTCCTTTTTTTAAGAACCGTTTCTTCATTCTTGGCAGCTAAACAAACATCGAGTAAAGAACAAAAAAGGTGCATAAGGGTATGGGCAGTATGGAAGGTTGGACTTGGACAGTTTAACTAACACCATGTGTGACTGTCAAAAGAACTTCATGTACAGAATTTCATTTCCTATCTATTTAGAGATCCCACAAAGGTAAAACAAAATTCCACAAAAACCCATTAAAGAAAAATTGAAATTCAGAAACTGAGACTTGTAGTTTAAGAAAGGAAAAGAAAGTAACATGTTGATATTAGAAAAGCACATTACCATGCTTTGTCTGGATCTTCAGCTTGGCAGAAGGATGGTTTCTTGAAGACCTTTCTATTGACCTTACAATGGACATGGTTGGTGGGTTTTTGCCAAACAGCAAGATCATCCTTCTGCTTCAATTTCTTCCAGCACAAGCTTTTTGCTACATTCTCAATCATAGTCTGTTCAGCTTTAAGGTCCTCAGCTGTTCTATCCCAGCCTTTCCAGTGCTTCTCCCAATTAATTGGTGGTCCAGACAGAATCCAGTATCCACCGGGACGCAAAACTCGATCAACTTCGATTAAGTAAAGCCCATCTGCGTAATAAAAACCCCAAATTTTAAACAAGAACTTGAGGAGCAGAGATGATGTGATTATAAATGGCAGTGTCATAGTGGTTTTACCATATTGGCCCCAGGGAATGAGGCAACGAGAGCAATGAGCCATGTCAAAAGCTCTTGAGGGGTAAGGGAGTCTCTGGGAAGCAAGAATGCCAATCAATGCAGGAACTCCTCTCTCAAGAGCAAATTGAACTTGTCCTTCATGGGTGTCTCTTGGTGCAAATGACATTGGTAGGATGTCCCTGGACAAAAGGTAAGCTCCCCAACTTGCAACCTGAGTCAAAATATTAAAAACAATTGTCACCTTACTAAAATTACACATAAAATACATCAAATGTTAACATTGGTGCCATGAGAGTTTGAACCTATGACCACTAGTTTTCAAGTCAATACCCTTTTGCACTGGGCTAGATTTGGTTGGCCAAACATTTTCGTTCTTTAAATAATTCTCATTACAATTTCATTAAATAAAATTTATTGACAATTTTTATTTATTTATTTATGACAATGAGAACAAAGCAATATGAGTAAATTTGAAGATGCTATAATTGAGGAAGGTTGGCAAGCAACTAACATATTCTTTAACATTAGTTTAAAATAATTAAAGCACATTAACTACTAACACTATAAAGAAAAAGTAGTACATTGCAAGAATTGCTTTCTCCCTTCTGCCAATGCTAATTAATAATGATATAAACACTTTACTTCAATGCCAAGACTACACATAATAGAAGGTTGTAGGGTTTGTAGCCAACCAGTAATTCAGTGTCAATTACAATTTACAACCCCATAATAAATAAATAAAACTATTTTGAGGCGATTTTCATTGTCTAATTCCCACTAGAAAATTGTATCAGAAATGTAGATCCTGAAACAAATTATTTAAAAATTGAATTAAAATGGGAAACCTGGATAAGACCTACCTACTATAGGAGAAATTTTAATATGTTTCGGAGCCCGGTTGATATATAAAAACTAAATTTAATTAAGACAAGCTGGAGTACATGGTTTTCAAAAACCATTTCCTGTTTCATTGTTAATTCCCAATATAATGTGGAATCTCACCATCATACCAACCCCGATTTTTTGTCTTGCTAATCTCCTATATCATATTATGCCGAAGAAGAAACATATTTAAAAATTCTCTTAATTTCTACATATTGCCTTTCTGGGTCCACCAAGAGAGAACCATTTATGCCTCTATTAAGACAATGATAAAAACAATTGTTAAAATGGTCATTTAAAATAAAATAAAATTATAAGGTGAGCCTTGGGCTTTCTGCCCATATGTGGATCACAAAGGGAAGTTTCCTTTAGTTACTTTCTTTGGCAAATTGGTGCTTCCTTGAATTACTCAAATTGTTATTTATATGCATGCTAAAACAAAAGGAAACAAATAAAAATAAAATCCAATCAGACCCGATAACCCTTTTCAAGCTTTACTTTCCCATTACTCAAACTTTAAAAAAAGAAAGGTAAAAACAAAGAACCGATTGAGAAATAAAATATTCCCATTGGGTGTTAACAGATATGTAAATGATAATGTTTTCTTATCAGACAATCGAAAATATTGGTTACGCATTCAGACAAGAATTTGTCTTATGAATGTGCCAAATTTTCTTGATGACACTGTAACAGAAAAAAATTCATGTCATAAATTTTCGATTTATAACATCTCAGACTGTCTGACAAGAACAAACAAACGTCTTAACAAATAACGAATGATGCATATATACACACACATAAGCATGCACATACATATTGATGCCCATACACACCCAAAAACAAAACATCAACAATAACAAATTGAACATGGCAGCCACAACCGAACCACCAATCACCAAACTTAGAACAACAAATCACAGTTTATTTCTCTTTTTTCTTTTTTTTCTTTTTTTTTATTATAAAGAAAATAAAGAAAAGACCGTTTACTTACCCCACAACCGGTATCAATGGCGGTTCGTACAGACCCATCTCTGAGATTGATCAATTTCCCGATTTCATCAATATACGCATCCGCACCACGAGGAAACATGGTCCCACCACCAGGGAATCTAAACCGGTCCCCTTCGTATTGAACCCAATTCTGCTTCTTCTTCTCCACGGTCAACTCCTTGTGCGGCACATTCGCGTACCAAACAGAGTCTCTGCTTTCCGGCCACCGAAATGGCACCTTATACCCGTGGGGAGCCGGAATCCGGCACTTGAGAAGCTCCCCCTTCTCCGGACAATGCCTCTCCCTGTAAACCAACCTCTCCCTGTCGAATTTCAGCGACCTCGTGACGTCCTGGCATGGCGTGTACTCGCTGAGCTTTGCGTCGCAGGGCGGCAGGTGAGCCACACGCGCCGCCGCCGGAGGTAGGGGGAGGTCCTCGGCGCGGTGGTGGGCCTCGAAGTCGAGGTGGATTGTTGTGTTCCTGGTGATTGGGGGACAGGAGGAGTCGGAGGTGGATATGTCAGCGGTGAGGGCGGTGGTGCCGGTGGAGTGCTGCCAAATTCCGACGAGGTAGCAGAGCGTGCAGAGGACGGCGACTAACGTCATGTAGTACAGGTTGGCTCTCTTGGGTTTCAGTGAAAAGTGCTGAAGTGGACTTGGCGAAGCCATTGTCTTGGTGAGAGAGAGAGAGAGAGAGAATAAAGAGAGAGAGAAAGAGAAGGTTTTGTTTGGATATATAGGAGGAGGGGAGACTAGAGAGTTCGATGAAAAATGAGGTCTTCAAGGTTGATATTATAATTTTTTTAGGGGGATTTTACTTCTTTTGGCTTTTGGGGGTAATAAGAGAAAACAATTTCCACGCTGCCAGAAACAAAAATAATATACACCCTGTTACATGTAAGTTTTAATCGAATTGCGTGAATACGGAGATTCGGGTTTGACAGTGAAGAGCCACTGTTTGAATTGAAGACCAGAGTTGGCTCTTGCACACGAGATTGTCTGGATTTATTGAATGCGTGTATTAAGAGAGAAAGTGCGTAGTGTGTAGTTGTATGGGAGTGTAATTACGTCTGCATCTTTTACACCCATTTGTTTTGGAAATTTATTATTTACCATATTGGGATTATTCACTGTAATTTCTTTTTCGTATTTTCCTCAATAAATATTGAGGTTTTGTGATTCTCAAGATCATTAAATCCCTTGGAAGTAATCAATTCCCTTGACTATGGTAATTAAGCGTGTCAGTTCTTGGAGAATATGGGTTTTACTTTAAGAGTGAAACTACACAAATCACGTATTAACTTCAAGAAGTTTTATTTTTATTTTGTGTAAAATTGTGTAATTAAATTTATTATATTTTAATAAGAGTAATAATAAAGACACTAATTTATTATATAAGCTTTTAGATATTAATTGATACTATTCATTTTATTTATTCAAAACAAATACGAAATTACCACATAATTTATTCTTAGCAGTGGCGGACCTATTAAGGCGCAAGGAGGTGCAGCTGCACCACCCTCGCCGGAAAAATCATTGAAGGTGCTTCAAATTGCTCATTTACTGAACTGGTGTACAGATTACCTTATTTTCATTTTCAACATATAGGTAAATGTCTTTGTCCTCTTACTTTCATTTATTTTTATATTACTCCATTTACTTAAGCTTACAATGTAAATAAGAAAGTACCCCCTATTTGGATTCAAATAAAAATACTAGAAAATCAAATTCCCACCAAATCAAAATATGAAAAATTAGTTTTAGTGCAAAATACAATTTAGGCTAAAAATAATGGCTCACAAAGTCAATATATACTTTATATTAAAATCCCATAAAATCAAGTTTTCTTATTTGATGTGTAAGGAATATCAGCCGCAAAAAATTATCTTGAGAAAATGATTATTCCGAAAAATCATTTTTCATACTTAGTCGATATTGCATCTCCACTAAAAAATTTATGGGTCCGCCAGTGATTCTTAGAAAAGTCGTTGTCTCTAGAATTATTGTTTTAATAAACATGTACCTTCATGGATGACAAACTCATTTGTGTATTTGCTTAATTAATAAGCATTTTATTTATTGTTGCATTTTATTGCTTGTGATATGAAACATCTTAATATACTTTAAAATTTTCAATCTCGAATGAAGTAAAAAGATACTCTCTTTTTTCCGGTATTTTTTTCAATTTTAAAAGATATCTCAAGTTAGAAATTCCACTAATCAATTCGTTTTTAAGTACATGTATCCAGATTAAGTTGAACGATAGTGGTTGTGAATATTCTGTACAGAAACAATACAATCCAATCGACTTAAGTTTATCTCTCATTGATAATGTTAAATAATAGCAATAAACTTTTGGAATATAGTAGTTTAATATTTCATTAGGCAACAAAAAATCAATCGATCATTTAGTTAATTAGAAATTGAAATGACATATTTTGTCACAACCCTTTTAAGAACAAACAAAAAAAAGGTGATTATCTCTTAAGCAAATTACAAAGAAGTTGAGTGTTTGCTTGCGTAGAAAGTTTTAGAGGATGTTGTTGATCGTGTTGTGTTTGGTTGATATTGGCGTTTGCCACTCTCAACGCGCGTGACATAAGGACAGGCCCCTCGGAATTTGGAGGTTCTTATAATCTCATCTCATTGGGTGCTTGCACGAACCAACAAGCAATCCAAAAGGGACTTCTGCAAAAAGTCATAAAAAAGTGCTTCTGGTTCCTCCTCCTGACATACAAAATTACAAACAAACAAAAGCTCCTAACAGAAGAACTTTCCCTGCATGCAATGATATTTTAACAGCAATGATGGGAATATTTGAATAAAGGCCAAGAATATTGCGTTTCTTGTGCATTGGTTAAATCAATGGGACCAACGATATTGAGTTTGAGAACAACAATTTTTTTTTTAAATTTTTTTTTGTAATGTACTGCAAGGATTTATAATCACTGGCGAATTCAGAAATTTTTTCTATATATATATTAAGCCCACACCGTTGAATTACAAATTGCTTTCTTGCCTTGGTGCATTTCACACCTGCTCTCCTCCCCAAAACTTAGTTGTTTAGCCTTCCAACTTAGATGTGTTTTGGGGCAAAAATAAACAGAGTCAACTTGTTGAGTGTGGGGTAGTAGCCCTTTTTAGCGCCTCAATAGATATGCGTCCTTGTAGCTCAAATGATTAATAACATTATCACTACATATAAAATTTTGTATTCTATCAGTAATCATATGTTAATTGAGAAGTATAATGCTAAACTTAATATAATCAAAATTAGTTTCGAGGTTTAAAAATATATTTAGTTGTTATAGCTCCCTATAATAAACTAGTTATTGATTTAGTTATATTTTTCTTCTCAAGAATTTGAAGGAATCTCAAGTTTGAAATTGTTGTTGTCATTCCCCTTTCGTACGCAAGCATGGGTTTTACGACTCGCAAGTACCCATAACAAGAGAACGATGGATGGGTAAACTGATAGTGCCAAGCAATGAGTGGACGATTTAGCCCCCACCCGTCTTTGTAACCACTCACTTTCTTTAATTTCATTGGATGCTAAACTGCTGTATTTTCTGGTATACCTTCTAACTTCTCTAACCTCTGGCCTCTCTGATAATGCCAGAAACCAAGAAGGAGCAACAAGCCTTATTTATATATCTATATATATATATATAGGGATTCTTCCAATAAGCTTATTCGAGGGACACTCTTATATGGCCTATTCCGCATTGTATTTCACTAATCCACACTGTATATTTTTTAGATAATCATTCAAAGATCATTTCTATAAAAAATCACTCGAATCTGATATCATTTGACCACTCAATTGAAATTTTAGTACTTTTTTGAAATATCGTGTTCATAAATTTTGTATGACACAATTGAATGTCCAAACGGTTTCCGATTTTTCTAATTTTTTGCAAAGATGATCTATGAATGTAGACTTAAAAAATAGATAGCTTGGACCGTTGAAAAAAAAAAATTGTAGGGGACCCTAAAAAGTGTCCCTCAAATAAAATTATTCGAATAATCCCTCAATAAAGGAGGCTATATATATATATATATATATATATATATATGTGTGTGTGTATTAACAATCTTATCTAGCAACATATGCATTTTGGGTTTTGGATTTTGGATTTTGCAATTTTTTTGGCCTCATCCTAGTCACATCTTCCACTTCATTGGCCCATAATTTCTTCAAATTTTGGACAAACCCACATAATTTTATATTTAAAAAAAAACTTGACTGAAAAGCAGAAATTCTGCTTCATTTAAGCTGGAAACTATAAGTGCTTTTTATTGCTTAAGGGGTTAAAATCTCTTGATTCAATTGGTATTTGGAGTGGTCTGAAATTTGTAGAGTTGCATGGTAGCAGGTTAGGTAGTAGGTCCTATATATCCTAATTAGATTGCACAAAATCTCAAAAGAGTAGTTACAACTTACTAAATATTGGTGAAATTTGACTTTAAACCTGAGTGTTTTAAAAATGCATCTACCTCTCCCATTATGACTTTCTCATACATGCCCATGTGCCACACCACTGCCCGTACAATTTTACATAATATAGATGCATTCACCAAGTTTCCGTCTTCATGGAATGAAACCTTGCTTACCAAAATTAGAGACTACCTTGCCAATTGGCATTGTTTCCTTTTCTATTGTTAGGGAAAAAAAACAAAAATACGTTGAAGAAGAAAGGTAACTACCATTCCTCATAAACTAATTTGGGTGGAGACTTTCTTGCCAATTGGCATAGCTCTCAAATCCGAGATGATGAAGAATATTTGTCACCAGCAAAAACAAAATTGGATTTTTTTAATTTTAATTTTTAAATAATGTAATTTTGTCAACGCTCAGTCATGTGCATATGGGTATAAAATTACGTGCATAAAGCCACAACTAAGGGAGGGAAGATTGGAAAGCATAAGCAAGGAAACTTCAATTAAAATATGTTTGATAAGTAAAGAATTAAGATGTTGTTTTCTCCGTTCTGCAACCTGGTTTGATGATTGAAATTATACATTAGAAAATGACAAAAAGAATAAATAAGTTTATAGCAAATGAAAGGTAACTAGCATTCCCCATAAACTAATACGATTATACGGGTGCTTAATACTTACCCAGGTAAGCTTTGATCCATTGTCCATATTATTTGATAGTGGAGCTATATATGGGGAGAAACCTATAACATGTCCCATTCTCATGAATTGTAATGGTATTTTTAATATACAGTCACAGTAATCAAATGTTCATGTACCAGCTGTACATATAGTTTATTTCTGGCATAAATAATCATACGATTAGCGGCAGGAGAAGCAGCATCTAGGGGAGGGTTTTAGGCTAGCTTGGGGTGTATTTCCATAAATTAATCTTATGTTTACAGTGATCTACTTACTTTTTAAATTATTAGTTTATTAATCCATGATTAAGACTGCAACCCTTCGACGACTTTCTAGCTTCCATTTTAGATGCAATTTCTGCTTTGGTGTACTACCAACATCACTATATTATATCAGAACAGCTAGATAGAAGAGTTCATAGTAAACTATATATAGACAATTGCTAAGTTTAATCGCTCTTACATGCGCGCGTGAATGATCCTGTCGATATAAAAGCGGAAGAAATATATCGATCACTCTCAACATTTTAAAAACATGGAGACAGATAG